GATGAACTACACATGCTTATCCATTTAGCTTGAGCTCTGCAAGAAGGATGAGGGGAGGGAGAGGTCCTGTATCAGAAAGAGAGAAAAACAACATCAAAGAGCCACTTTTATTGCACACTTATTTTGACTATGAAAAAGTGTATATAGAGAGAATATCTTTCTAGATCAATGAAAGTTGGCCTTTACTATTTGTTAAGGGTTGAATTATATTTTCTACACTGAACAAATATGTTAAAGTTCTAACCCCTGGTACCTAAGAAGGTACCAGGTGAAAGAAGTTTATTGTACAATTAATTAGCCAACATGAGGGTGTGCCAGTGTAGGGTGGGCCAAACTCTAATGACTGGTGTCCTACAAAGGTGCCCATGTGCAGACAGACATACAGGGAGAGCGTGTGACAGTAAAGTCAGAGAGAGGCGTTTCGAGGCTTCCGGTCAAGGAATACCAAACATCACCAACAAGCCCGTGAAGCTTGGAAGAGACCAGGAAGGGTTCCCCAGTGGATTTCAGATGGAACATGACCCTGTTGAGCCTTGACTTTGGGTCTTTGCCTCCCCAACCATCAGACAATATATTTCTGTTGTTTTAAGTCACCTAGTTTATGGTCCTTTATCATGGCAGCCTGGGAAATGAGTATACAATTACTTTCATGTCTAAAAACTTTTGGCACTATTTCACACTTGGAGAACAGTTCCCAAAAATATTACAAAAATTCTCATATATTCTTCACTTAGATTCCCCAAATGTGAAAATTTTGCCTTATTTACTTTGTCTGTCTACACTTAAATAAATATATGCATGACAATTTGCACATGTGGTACAAATTAACCCCTAATAATTTACCCTAAATATAAATACTTCATAGTTTATGTTCTGAAAATAATAATGTTCTTTTGCATGACTATAGCATTTCAAAACAGAATGATAATGATAAGATACTGTTATCTAATATAAATAATGAAGTAATAAACTTATGTTTTATTGATCAAAATTTTTTGCATGGGTTTTTACAAGAGTTTTGGAACACTTGAATTCTTACACTGGATTTCTTAGTTTTCAATATCCAACTGGTACCTCAAACAGTGTGATAGTGCTGACTGTGTGTGTGTCTTCATGTACATGTGTGTGTGTAATAATTTCTGGGAACATAATTTTTTTCCTTTTATTCATATGTGCATACAATGTTTGGGTCATTTCTCCCCTCTTGGGAACATAATTTTTAAGTTGAATCTTGATGTAAGCTTCTTTTTCTGGCAGTACTAGGGTTTGAACTCTAGGCCTTGCACTTTATGGGGAAGTGCTGTACCATTTGAGCCATACCTACAGCCTTTTTTGTTTTGATTTTTTGAGTTAGAGTCTTGCATTTATGCCCAGATCTGGCCTAGACCGTGATTCTCCTAAGCTTCCCACCTAGCTGGGATGACAGGCACATGCCACCATGACCAGCATTTTTCTTGATTCAGATGGGGTCATGAGCTATGTGCCCTGGTTGGCCTTGACCCATGATCCTCCCTATCTCTACCTCCCATGTACCTAGGATTACAAGCATGTACCACTGTGCCCAGCATAATTTCAATATAACTTTCTGATGCAGGTGTTTGAAGTCTTTTGGCGAAGGAAGAATTGTTTCTTTCATCTGTAAAAATTATCTTTCAAACCATTACACGAAAGGAAACAGAAGATAAAGGTCATTATATTCTAGGAATTGTATGTTTGGACAAGCTTATCAGTTCAATTGGCTTAAAATTGTAATAGTCTCCTTTTTGAATGTCTTCAGCATATTTAGTGTCATTTTTCTTTCACACTTTATGTTTACTGCTTACTTCTTTCTCTGCATCAGACCTCTTGTGGATTCTCAATTTTTTTGTATTTTCAAAGATTTTACCAACCTTGAGTCCCATCTTTTAACTTTTTAAATTTCATTCTTATTATTTTCTTCTGTTTTCTTTTGATGTATATTTTGTTCTCTAACTTAAAATGTAGGATGTGTTCATGAAATTTCAACCTTCTTCTTATACCTTCCTTATACTTTTATTAATTCATAATCCATCCGCTTGGCAATTACTTTGATACATAGATTCGCACATATTACATTCAAAATAATGTTTTCTCCTTGTCCGCATTCTTAGAAGTAAATATACAGATTTTGTGGACATTTGGTATGTGCGTAGCACTATACTTACAGCACTTTTTTGCACAAAAGGGTTTTATTGTGATATTTCCATGCATGCATATAATGTACTTTGGTCAAAGTCACGCCTGTTATTCTCCCCTCCTTTTAAAATATTTTAACAGGTTTCATTATTCTATTCTCATATGTGTCTATAAAGTACTTTGATCATATTCACTCTTCCCTTTGCTCTCTTCCTTTTTATCTTTTTTTTTTTTCATGGTACTAGAATTTCAACTCAGGGCTTCATGTTTGCTGAGCAGGTGCTCTACTGCTTGAGCCATGCCTCCATCTCCCTTCTTTTTCTGCCTCTTTCCCACTAGCTACCATCCCTAAACAGTCTCTGTTTTACATTCCTGTCATTTACTTTTTAAGATCTAGATTCCACATGTCAGAGAGAACATGTGATATTTGTCTCTCTCAGTCTGTCTTATATCACTTAATATAATTTCTAATTCCATCAATTTTCCTGCAAATGACAAAATTTCATTCTGCTTTATGATGGAATGTAGCTACATTATGTATATACCACATATTCTTTTTACATTTGTCAGCTGATGGGCACCTGGACTGATTCCATAGCTTGGTTTTTGTGAGTAGTGCTGATATAAACATGGCTGCAGGAATCTCTACTGTATGCTGATTTACCTTCCTTTGGATATAGGTCCAAGAGTGGTATATCAGGATCATACGCTAATTCTAATTTTAGTGTTTTGAGGAATCTCTATGCTGGTTTTCGTAGTGGCTGAACTAATTTACATTCACACCAACAGTGTATAAGAGTTCCTTCCCCAGCACTCCTGCAACTCACCAGCATTTGTTCTTTGCTGGATGATTGCCATTCAGACTGGAGTGAGATTGAATCTCAATGTCTTTTTGATTTTCATTTCTTTTATGGGTAAAGATGTTGAACATTCATATATTTATTAGCCATTTCTACTTCTTTTAAGAACTACCAGTTCAATCCATTTGCCCAATTATTAAATGGACTGCTTGTTCTTTTGATGTTTAATTTTTTTGACCTCCTTATATATTATGGATATTAATCCTTAATCCAATGAGTATCTGACAAAAATGTTCTCACATGTGTAGACTATCTCTTGATTCTGGTAATTGTTTCCTTTGCAGAACACAAATTTTTAAATTTGATTCAAACCTACCATTTGATTCTTACTCTGAGTTTCTGAGCTAGTGGGGTCCTATTCAGAAAAGCATCAGTTACTCCTATGTCTTCAAAAGGTTTTTCTGTTTTCCTGTAGCACTTTCAAGCTTCGGTCTTCCATGAAGATTTTTGATGCACTTTGAATTAATTTTTGTACAAGGTTAGAGACTGGAGTCTAGTTTCAGTCTTCTATACTTGGATATTCAGTTTCCCCAGTACCATTTATTGAAGAAAGTGCCTTTTTCCAACATAGATTTTGGTGCTTTGTCAAAAATCAAATGGTAGACTGGGCGCTGGTAGCTCACATCTATAATTCTGCCTACTCAGCAGGCAAGGTCAGGATGATCTCAGTGTGATGTTAGACTGGGCAAATAGTTTGAGAGAACTTATCTCAGAAATATCAACACAAAACAGGGCTGTTGGAGTGGCTTAAGTGATAAAGTTCCTGCTTAAGCATGAGGATCTGAGTTAAAACTCAAGTGCCACCAAAAAAAATCAAATGGCCGTAGCTATGTAGAGTTATTTATGGATCTTCTTTTCCATTGATCTATGTGTCTGTTCTTAGTCTGTACCATGCTGTTTTTTATTACTATGGCTCTGTAGAATAATTTCTATATAACATTTCACATTTCACAACAAATGAACATTACCATTGCTTCACCTCCTCACCAGCAATTGATAGGGTCAGTCTAATTCATTTTGGCAATTTTAGTAAGTATATAATGACATCACTTCATTTTAATTTTCATTTTATTAATAACAAAGTATTAAGCATATTTTCATTTTTATAATTTACCATCTGTGTATCTTTTTTGAGGCATCTATTCAGATCTTATGCCCCTTTTTAACTGACATCCTTATTTATGTGTGAGAGCTGAGGTCTGTGACAAAGTTCATTTTTTGTGTCTGGAGTTTGTTTTTCCATACTCCTTCTCCCTTATGATTTTGGCAAAAGTTACCTGCTTATATTTGTGGGGGCATCCATTCTCTGTCAATTACTGAAAAAATTAATTCTCACTTTTGTGCATAAGTCTGCATTTGCTCTTATGTTGAAGATATGCCAGGTGAATATAGGTTAACATTCCTGTATCTTCATGATGGGTCTATTATTCCCTGATGAAGATCCTCTTTGTCTGCCATCATGCTTGTGATTAAAGTTAAATCTGTTAGGTACTATAATTAGGTAAGTATTCTTTTGGATAGTTTTGGTATTTCTGGGGCTTGAACTCAGGGCATTGTGCTTATAAAGCAGGGTCACTTGAGCCATACCTCCAGTCCAATCTGATTTAGTTTTTAGTTGATTTATACCAGAAATTTATCTGTATATCTCAATCAGTAATGCTATTTTGGATAAATTAGTATTGGGCATTTTTGTCATGTTTCCCACCAGGCATCATCAGAATTGAGGTTGGAAGTAATTCTTTTGGGTTCTAAATCTCACTGGTACTGAAATTATACAATCAGCCTAGAAAATGTATATATACACAATGGAGTTTATTTAGCCATTGAGAACAATGAAATTATGTTGTTTGCATAATGCAAGAAGTCAGTGACTTTGACCCATTTATTTTGAGCAACATGGTGCTGCCATTGTTTTCCTACAGTTTGCATTTATTTCTTGTTCCTGGCATTGTCTCTCAGAAGACTAATGTCTCTGCCTTAGAGGAAATGGCATCATCTTTCTTTTCTGAATTTGGCCTTACATGGTATCTGGAGGAGCTCAACAAGAAGGAGTTCATGAAATTTAAAGGACTCCTCAAGGAAGAGATTTTGCAACTTGACCTTAAGCAAATTCCCTGGTGTGAAGTGAAGAGAGCATCCCGGGAAGACCTCGCCAACTTACTGATCAAATATTATGAGAAACAACAAGCATGGGCTGTGACGTTCAGCATCTTTCAGAAGATCAATAGAAAAGATCTCTGTGACAGGGCCAAGAGAGAGAGTACTGGTGAGTATGTCTGTGGAGGGGGGTCAAGCTTCTTATAATGAGGATTATATCATAATTTTGGTATATGGCCTCCATGCCCATCTATCACAGGACCATAAAGTGCTATAGGAAAATGTCCTTGTAGATAGGAAACACCTTCTTTTAGACCTGGTGGTTATAAGTGGTCAAATGTCAGTGGATATTATCCTCTAACATAGATTGTTCCTCTATCTGGGACACTGATAATTTTATACTGGGCAAGAAGTTGCATCTAAGCCAGAAACTCACAGGTGAAGCAGTAGCCTGTGGATTTGGCCCAACAAAAACAGCAAGTGACACCTGCTCTAGATTATACAATGAACCAGTGAATGCTCTTAACTGGTGTCATTAAGTATATGCTCAAAATAGCCATAAAATGCAGTGTTAAATAAGATTTCTAAATTACTGTCATGTGTCTGTATTTTCATATTTGAGAAGCAAAAGTTGATGATAGAAGCTGTGATCTATCAGCATTGTGGCCTTAAATGTCACATTTGTATTTATTCTGATAGAAGGTATTAACTATTTACATATATAAGGTGCAAAGAGCAGGAGGTAGCTCTTCTGACTTATTGACAAATTTCTTTGCCTTTGATGTTCTGCAGTCTTAGTATGGTGGCTTTTTTGGCTCATTCTGCTTGGGATTTCCTGATGGTCCCACTTCTGTGGCTCAACAACATTCTTCAGTTCTCAATTTCAGCATTTATTTGTTTGAATGTTGTTCCTGTCCCATTCTTTCTTCCCCGCCTTCTTCTCAGACTCCAGCTGTACAAATCATGCCTCTAGACTGTGTTCCACTTTTTCTCCATATCTTTTTATCTCTGTGCTTTGGTCTTATTTATGCTTTTTCCTTTTGTCTCCCAGTTTAGCTCTTTTGGCAGTAATGGGTTTGAACTCAGGGCCTCACACTTGCTAGGTAGGTGCTCTACCATTTCAACCATCTCCAGTGCCTTTTGTTTTCCTTATTTTTTAGAAGAGTCTCATGTTTATACCCAGGTGTAGACCACTGTCTTCCTACTTATGTTTCCTGCTGTAGCTGTCTTGACAGGCACACTCTACCATGCCCAGCCTTTTTATTGATTGAGATCTGGGTCTCTCAAACTTTTTGCCTGGCCTGGCCTTGACTCATGATCCTCCCAGTCTTTGCTTCCTAAGTATCTAGGGCCATAGTTGTCACCAGTAGAATTGAGCATTTTCTAATCTGATAGCAGCCACATCTATCGATTTTGTATATTTGCTTAATATATTTTACTTGTGCATTTTGCCTGTTTTTCATAGATCTCCATTCTTTTTTGAATGTCCCCTCTCTTGTATTTGATTGAACGTCTAATTTATTTTAACACTATCTCTTCACCTTCCAGTGTCATGAGGGTGTGTGTACATTGCAGAGCTTACCCTGAACCTTTAATCAGATTCCTGCAAGGAATTCTGGGAAGCATAGAATGTTTGTTGTTTTTTGTTTGTATTTTTAGCATTGTGCACTTGAAAGAACAGGAAAACTCACTACAATAAAGTTGGAATAAATCCTAGCATCCTCTCTGCTATATCTACAATACTGAGTTTCCCTCCTATGGGCAATTGTCATGTCACATCCTTCTCATGTAGACTGTCAGATATATTGCACACATATAAAACCATTATCCACACCTAACCAACTTCATTGTTTACACCAATGGTTACATATCACAGACTTTGCCTGTTTTTTAGCCACATAGCTTATTCCATATATTTAATATTGGTGTAATGCTCTGTGGTTTCATAAACTAGGTGGCTGGTCTTCTGTTGATATTAATGCAGTTATTTTCCAGTTCTGTGCTATTGTGGCAACAATCAACAGCCACATGTGCACATGTGTGCAAACATGTACAAGAGTTGGCAACCTTTTGCTGTGCAGTGCCTTGTGGATGCTTTAGACTTTGTGCCACACAGTCTCATTCACAATGACTCGGCTTTGCTGCTGCACAAGGGGAGCAGTCATGCCATGTGTAGCAGAAATGAAAGTTGGGCCCAAGTTCTAATAGAACTTTACTTATACAATGAGGCTGTGTGCCCTTTGGCAAGGGTCTACAGACTCCTGAGAATTAAAATGTCAGAGTCAAAGCACGAATATGTGAGTATTTAATTTTTATATGCTGTGGGTTTTTTTCTTTTGTACTCACTGACCCAGGACACACCAAGAGGTATCAAGCTCACATACAGAAGAAAATCAGCAATATGTGGTCCAGAGAACCCATCACTGCAATTCATGATTTCTTTGACCAGAAAATCACCCCAAAAGAACGTGAATATTTTGAGCCCCTTATTGCTCCTAAGACAACCAGGAAGCAGTCTCACACAGTGCTGCTTAAGGGAATCCCAGGAACTGGGAAAACGATGGTTCTGATGAAGTTAATATTGGCCTGGGCAGAAGGCAGCCTCTGTCAGGATAGATTCTCATATGTTTTCTATTTCTGCTGCCGAGAATTAAGAACACTGACAGAAACAAGCCTGGCTGAACTCATCTCCAGAGACTGGCCTGACTCTGGCGTTGCCATAGCAGAGATCATGTCCCAACCAGAGCAGCTCTTGTTCATCATTGATAGCTTCGACGAGCTGAAATGCAGCTTGGATGGACCGGAGGCAGAGCTGTGCAGTGACTGGATGGAGAAGCAGCCAATAAAGGTGCTTCTGGGCAGTTTGTTGAGGAAGAAGATGCTCCCAGAGTCGTCCTTAATCATTGCAACTACCCCTAGCTACTCACCAGGACTGGAGGAAAGGTTGGAGAGCCCAGACATTAGAACAGCCATAGGATTCGAAGATAGCAACAAGGAGGAGTACTTCCACTGCGTGATTAAAGACAGTAGTAGAGCCATGCAAGCCTTCAGATTGGTGAGAGAATATGAACAGCTGTCTTCCATGTGCCAACTCCCTGTGCTTTGTTGGATCGTGTGCACTTGTCTGAAGCAGGAGTTAGAAAGGGGAAGAGACCTGGCGCTGATCTGCCAACGCACCACCTCTCTGTATGCCTCCTTCATCTTTAACTTGTTCACTCCCAAGGGTGCTAATTGTCCAAATTGGCAAAGCCAAGGCCAGCTGCTAGGCCTGTGTTCCCTGGCCGCAGAGGGCATGTGGACTGACACATTTGTGTTGAGAAAGGAGGCTCTCAGTAGAAATGGGATAGCTGACTCTGACATCCCCACATTGCTGGACATCAAGATTCTTCTGAGGGATAAGAATTGTGAGAACTCCTATGTGTTCATCCACCCATCTGTCCAGGAGTTCTGTGCTGCCATGTTTTATTTGCTAAAGAGCCACAGTGAGCACCCCAACTCAGCTGTTGCATGCTCAGAGACACTCCTGTTTACATTTTTAAAGAAAGTTAAAGATCATTGGGTTTCTTTCCCACGTTTCTTATTTGGCCTTTTACATGAAAAGGAACAACAAAAGCTGAATGCATTTTTTGGCTTCCAACTATTATCCCAAGAGGTAAAGCAGCGATTTCACCAGTGCATGAAGAGCATAGGTGAGAGTGAGGATCTTCGGGAACAGGTAGACTTCTTGGGATTATTTTACTGCCTGTTTGAGATGCAGAATGAAGCCTTTGTGAAGCAGACAATGGACTTCCTCCAAGAAGTGAATCTTTCTATCACTAAAAAATCAGACTTGATAGTTTGCGCCTATTGTTTAAAAAAAAGTTCTGGCTTGAGGAAACTTTTGTTTTCAATCCAAAATGTCTTTAAGGAAGAGAATGGACACTGCTCCATGTGAGTCCACCTACTGACTTTCTTCTGTTCCATTCTCAGAATCTATCCATACACTCAGGAGTCTTTGCTGAGGGGCATTATATGGCATCATGCTTAGAAATTCACCTTTTTATGTCAAGCAGGCTCTATTTTGATCCCTGGATTGACTCGTTAGAGATTTTTTTATTAGTTTTAATTTTTATTATTTTCATTGTGCATGTTTATGGGGTACTGTGTGATGACTCAGTGCACGTGCTTGATGTAGATTGACTTTTATGGCTCCCCATGACCTTGTCTATTAGATTCACCCTTTCTTAAAAAAGGCGGCCACCTCATCACAGCAGCAGTAGTATTAACAACTGTACCATCAGGATGGAGCTCAACAACCCATTGCATGTGGCTCCTGCCCTTCCCAAACACCAGCCAAAATACCTATGATTGGTATTTATATTATTTTATTATTGTTTTTTTGGTGGTATTGGTGTTTGAATGCAGAGCCTCACACTTGTTAGGCAGCCTCTCTAGTGTTTGAGCCACATATCCAGACTTTTTTTACTCTGGTTAATTTGGGGATAGGGTTTCATTTTTTGCCCAATATAGCCTGGACCGCAATCCTCCTGTTTTAAGCTTCTCACTGAGATTACAAGCATGCATCTCCACGTCCACCTTTTTCCCTTGATACAGGATCTCATGATCTAAGCTGTCCTAGAACTGTAACCTTCCCAACACTTGCCTGCCAGGTAGGTAGGATTATAGGTGTGAGCCATCAAGGTCAGGTCCTAGGACTGATGTTTATATAACTCTCCAAGGGCCACACTTGAGGTCCTCCTTGACCTACCAGCTGCAAATTACCTTTTAAAATTCATTCTGAAATTCTTCTGAACTTTTACATTTCATACTTACAAAAATCATGCGCTGGGCATGGTGGCTTACCACTGTAGTCACAGCTACTTAGGAGGCAGTGATCAGGAGGATCAGGTTCAAGACCAGCTAGGACAGAAACTTCTGGAAACCATGAACCGAAGCAGTAAGGCCTGTTATCCCAGCTATTTAGGAAGCATAAATAGGAGGATCACAGTCTAGGCAAAAAGCATGACACCCTTTTAAAAATAATATCTAAAGCAAAAAAGGGCTGGGGGCATAGCTGAAGTGGTTGAGTTCATGCCTAGTAAGCATGAGGCCCTGAGTTCAAATCCCAGTACACCCAAAAAATCATCAGATATATTCTGTTATCAGGTTACAGGTGAGATGGGCAAAGATGCTAAGTAAGTTGCCCAAGATTGGATAGTTAGGAATTGGTGGCAGCTAAGCTTAGCCCAGGAAATTGTGTTGCAGGATTTAATAGCATGGTGTCCTGCCTCACCTTTAAATATACAATCACTGGGTTGGATGGAAGCAGGGTTTTGCCAACCTTGACACTACTGATAATCTAGGCTGGCTGTGTGGATGTTGTGAGGTCCTTTCTGTGCTTGGCCTTTCCCTGCTTCTTACCAGAAGCACCCCTCACACAAGTTGTAACAAAACACAAGAAACACCTTCAGGCCTTGCCAAATATGGTGGTTGAGAATGGCTGCTATGAGGTGAACTTACCTGACTGATACTCTCCCTTCCTAAGGGGAAAGGGAGACCTGGGTCAGATGCCTTCTGTTCTGGAAGATAATTTCTTTCTTTGACCCTGTGAATGGGAGGAATTGACCCTTCCATCACAAAAGTGTTCTTTTCTCCTTCATGACAGGTCAGATTTCAGTCTCACCTGTTGGCATGAGATATGCTCTGTGCTTACGACTAACCAGCACCTCCAAGAACTGCAGGTGAAAGATGGGGTCCTCAGTGAGTCAGCCTGTGAGACCTTGTATGAACAGCTGAGGCAGCCCAACTGTGTCCTTCAAAGTCTTGAGTAAGTTGAAGGTCAACCTTGACTTGTGTCATGAAAATACATCAGTATTGCTGCTAGCATGGGGCTAAGACTCACTGTGTAAGCAAAGACTTACAATCAGAGCAGAGTCCCTCAGGCCCAACCCCACTCTGGTTTGTTACAAACCACTCTTTTTGGGGGGCTCTCCTGTGTGTTGTAGATGTTGGAGAGCATCCTGGGCTCTGTTTCCTACACAACAGTAGCTTCCTCTAGTGTGACATTGTCTGCAGAAATTTCCCAGTATTCCTTACGAAAGGAAAATCACCCAGGTTAAGAACCACTGAGCTGTAGAATTAGGTGTGAAATTCAAATATGAGCTGATTACAGGAGGTGGTCAAAGACAGGTGCTCAGTCTGGGCTTACAGGCCCTACTTGATGAAATTCATCCAAACTTTTCTTTGTTTTGCAGGATAAATAGGGTTGTCTTTTATTGTGAGTGTTCTCATTTATTTGAGGTGCTCATTCATAACTCAAATTTGAAACACTTCAAGTTCACCCACATCAGCCTATCCCGTTCTGACGTGAAGTTGCTTGGTGATACCTTGAAGCATCCCGAGTGTAACATAGAAAGGCTGCAGTAAGTCTCTGTCTTCTCCCGGGTCACTGATTTGGTCACAGAGGACTGTGTGGTATGGAATATGTGTGTTTCTGTCCAGTTTTGGATTATTTATGTAGGAAGTTAGCCTTCTGGGAAATTGGTCATGGAATACATAAGTTACTTTCTTAATATAGGTACAACCACTTTGGGGATTTTTGTTTTGCCTTCTATTACCATATGTTAGTTGAAGAAAGAGATTTCACTGTGACCCTTCCACAGATGTATACAATGTGCCTTGGTCAAATTCATGCCCTATTCCCTCAACCTCATCTACCTTTGCCTTCTTAAAGCAATTGCAACAGCTTTCATTATTCTAGTTTCATACGTAAGTATAAAGTACTTCAATCATATTTACCCCCTTTACCTCTTCCTTTCACTCTCTCCCTTCCTGTTCTTATGCTCCCCAAATAGGACCTGTTTTACACTCATTCCTTTTAAAAACTAGATTCTGCATATGAGAGAAAATGTGATATTTGCTTTCTCAGTCTGGCTTATTCTAACATGATAACTTCAAATTCCATCCATTTTCCTGAAAAGTGACATGATTTCATTCTTCTTTATGACTAAGAAATACTCTATTAGGTACAACCACTTTGGAAAACTATTTTATTCTATTCAACTTTTGTGGATCCCAGTATATCCCATAACCTAGAAATACCATTCAACAGAGTTCTGTGACTTGGTTTTTTAATAGACATCAAAGCATTCGTGGCAAGTATTCATAGAGCCACCCTACCATCTTTTCATAAGACTTTGGTCATTTCTATATCTTCTATAGAGAAATGTCCATCCAAATAATATATGCAGGGTAGCAGAATGGCTAAACTGGTAGAGCACCTACCTAAAAGTATGAGGCCCTGAGTTCAAGCCCCAGTACCACAAAAAATAAAAATAATAACAAATCCTATATGCATTTTAAGTGTCTTTTTGTTGTTATATTGTAAGAATTCTTTATATATTCTGGATGCAATTTTGTGATAAAGAAGGTATATGATTTGCAAATACTTTCTCCTGAATTGTCTATTTACTTGCAATTATTTTTTTGTCTCCTTGCTTATGATGCAGTCCCTAAGAAACCGTTGCTTAGCTCAAGAACATTGATATCAACTTCCTTATTTTCTTTTAAAATTCTCATTTTTAGGGGGCTGGATGCATGGCTTAAGTGGTAGAGTGCCTGCCTAGCAAGGCACAGAGCCCTGGGTTCAAACCCTACTACCCTGGCTTCCCAAATTTTTTTCATAGTGTTGGTTCCTATGTTTAAGTCCATGATCCATATTCAGTTAATTATAGGGTGTGGTGTAAATGAGGCCAAATCTTTTTTTTTTCTTTTTTCACAGCATTGAGGTTTGAACTCAGGGTCTCATACTTGCTCTACCACTTGGTCCAGGCCCCTGGCTCTTTTCCTTTTTTTTTTTTTCTATTTATTTTTAAGGTAGAGTCTCTCATTTTTGCTCAGGAATGGCCTCACACTGGGATTCTTTTAGCTATATCTTACAATACAGCTGGGATGATAGGCATGTACCAATGTGCCCTGTTTATTGATTGAGGTGGGGTCTCACTAACTTTTTCCCCATGCTGGTCTCAAACCTCAGTCCTACTGACCTCTGCCTGATGAAGAGCTCAGATTACACGCACGAGCCACCACACTAGCCCCAAAATCCTATTTTTTCAGTCCTTGACAATAACACCTTTGGCAGGATGTGCTGGTACACACCTGTAATCCCAGCTACTTGGGAGTCAGAGATAGGAGGGTCAATGTTTGAGGCTGGCCTGGGAAAAAGTGAGGGAGTCAATCTAAAAACCAAAGAAGAAAGGACTGGAGGTATGGCTCAAGCAGTAGAGCACCTGCCTGACAAGCACAAGGCCCTGAGTTCAAACCAGTGCCACCAAAATAAAAAAGAAATCATGTCATGGGATTTGCAATGCTCCTGATTCTTACAGGAGCAGCATGAAGAATGTATGAGAGAGATGGGAACAACCGGTGTGGTGTCCTCCCTTCCCCATAGGCTGGTAGACTGTGGCCTGGTGTCTGATGACTGTGATGTCTTCGCCTCAGTCTTGGTCAGCAGCAAGAAGCTGAAACATCTGGATATAGCATGCAACTACCTGGAGGAAGGGCTGCGCTCACTGTGCAGGGCATTGTGCCACCCAGACTGCACCCTGAGCCTATTGGTGTAAGTGGACACTGAAGGAGTCACTCTGGGGGGTCACAGCAGTAGTGTGAACTTGGGCCTGTGAACTGCAACATGTCCACTGATGGAGGCACATGGCAGGATTCAAAGCACAAGCTTAGGAAGCAAAACACTTAGGTTTCATTTCTGGGTTCACTGGTTATACACTGTCACCTCAAGCAAGGTATTTGACCTCTTTGCAGTTTCAGTCTGCTCCTCTGAAACAGAGGGCAGAAAGACAAGCCTGTCCCTCAAGTCTAGTGAATATTGAGTGAGATGATCTTTGCAGAGCACATACAGTCTCTCCTCTGTATCTGTGGTCCCACATCCATGGATTCAATCAACCATGGATCAGAGAAAGGTCAGATGCATCGGTGCCCACTTGCAATCCCCCCTACTCAGGAGTCAGAGGTAGGAAGATCATGGTTCCAGGATGGTCTGGGCAAAAGTTTGCGCAAGGCTCTATCTGAAAACAGATCAAGGTACTAGGGGTATGGGTCAAGTGGTAGAATGCCTGCTGAGCAAATGCAGAGCTCTGAGTTCAAAACCCAGTACCATAAAAAATGTTGGAAGAAATTACACAAGGCAGTGAGGAAGCCATTGCCTGTACTACAATAGGTATCTACATATAAAATGCAAAAAAACCTAAATAACTGGGAAGTAGTTATTATAAAGGGTTAATGCAGACATCTAGTGAGCTCTGCAAACCTGAGCATTTTCAGTCAACATGTTTAATTTCAACTTTAGATCTTCAGTACACCAAAAGTAAAATACTAACATGAAAGCATATTTAATATAACAAACATGTTAGCATGTCTTTTATTCCTCATCAGTAAAAAAGCATTACCATCTCTTTGCTTAAGTAGCAAATTAATCTTTAATCCTCAATGTTTGACAGGGTCTGAGAAAATAAGACACTATTTTAAAACAGCAAAATATATTATTTCATAGAAAATCTTATCAAGTATGTGTTAATTCAAACATGGTTTTAACATTACAACCTAATATATGACAACTCAGGAAATAGTTTTCACTTGATATTTAATTCACAATTGAAAATATTGCTATATACATTTGTTACACACACACATCTTGATTTCCAAGCACAAATTTTTTTGGCAATGCTGAGGTTTGAACTCAGGGTCTTACTCTTACTAGGCAGATGTTCTACCACTGAGCTATATCCCCAGTCCTTTTTTTATTGTCAATTACTCATACTGAAACCGTGACCTATTTTGCTTTAGTTATTTTTAATATGGTCTCATATTTTTGCCTAAGTTGTCCTTGGACAATCCTCCCCTGTAGCTGGAATGACAGGTGTTTCCAGCTTGTTGATTGAGATGGGGTCTCCCAAACTATTTGCCTACACTGGCATCAAACTGTGATCCTCCTGATCTCTGCCTCCTGAGTAGGGAGGATTATCAGCATGAGCCACCACTACCCAGCTGTTCAGTTTTTTGAGATAGGGTCTCATGATATAGCTCAACCTGGCCTTGAATTTACAATCCTCCTGCCTTAGCTTCCCAAGTTCTAGAATTACAGATATGCACAACCATGCCCAGCTGAAATGTTACCTTTAATGTGAGGTTAAGCAAGCTCTCTGGATATCATTTCCTGTATCATGCCCATTCCTTTTCTTCTTTATTTTTCCCCACAGTTTGGCAAACTGCCACCTCAGTGAGCATTGCTGGGAATACCTCTCTGAAGTTGTTCTGAGTAACAAATTTCTGAGGCATCTGGACCTCAGCGCAAATGTCCTGACAAATGCAGGCCTGAAGACCCTCTGTGAGGCCCTGAGACACCCCGAATGCAGCCTGAACTCACTGTGGTAGGTTCCCTTGAGGTCAGTGCTGACATTGAGCCTGCATGGCCATGACAGCCAGAGTGTCGGGGCTTGAACACATGGAGGTCAGCAACAGTCAGCTCAGAGTTCTGTGTTGATGTTCCTGAGAGAAATGTGTGTGATGTGACCCCATGGTCACAGGATTAGTGTGTGGTCAGGGGTCACTCAATGGAGTGTAGACAAAAAGGACTGAGAAAGAGAGGGAAATGATGACATGGGGCTGAGAGGTGGTTTTATAGCAAAGATATTTAGCATGTGTGCTACAAGATAAGTAAATTTACCAGGTGCAGTGGATCACACCTGTAATCTTAGCTACTCAAGAGACTGAGATTGGGAGTGCTGAGGTCTCACTATGTAGCACAGACTGACTCAAACTCAGGATCCCTGTGCCTCAGCCTTCCTGGAGCTGGGCTGACGAGTGTGTCCACAATGCCTGCCTCATTAACCTAGAATTCTTTTTTCAGTACTAGAGATTGAATCCAGAGCCTCAGGCTTATAGGCAGATGCTCTTCCACTTGTGCTACAATGCCAGCCCTTTTGATTTTAGGTATACTTTTCAGGTAAGGCCTTGCTAACTTTGCCTAGGATGGCCTCAGATCATGATCCTCCCACCTCACCTCCTGAGTAGCTGGGATGACAGGCATGAACTACCAGGACCTACCCAATCTAGACTTTTATAACCAACAAAAATCATAAGAATGAGGAGAAAGGACAGATACTATGAATGTAAATAGAAAACCCACAAAAATCTGTAGACAAATTGTCAGAATAAGTGAGTCTAACAAGGTTGCTAGAAATAGTATATCCCATTAAAAACAAAAACCTTTCCTATAATATAACAAAAATAAGCCAAAGGAATTAAAGTACACAGTAGATTCTAAAATAAATTACATAGAAATAAAGCTAACCCAATATGCCTGAGTCTTTTATGCAGAAGATTATCAAAGGATAATGTGTAAAACAGGAAAACATCATGGTTCAAATGGTGAGACAGTTGGCATGAAAAAACTCAATTCTACCCAAACTGATTCTGGTTCTAATGAATGTCCAGTAGAATGCAAATGTTGTTTGTTGTTGAGCTGAACTTGAAAAGTACATTTTTTGATGTGTCTGGGGTTTGAACTCAGAGCTTCAGACTTAACAAAGCAGGTGCCCAACCACTTGAACCACATCTATAGCCCATTTTCACTCTGGTTATTTTGGAGATGGGATCTCAAGAACTATTTGCATGTATGTATTGGTAAAAACATGGTACATTTGGGGTTCAGCTCTGTTTTTAATTCAGCATCTCCTGGAGGTGTGGGAGCATTTCTCCTGCCTGTAAGGGGACCACTGTGCCACGGTTATTCTTTTGCAGCTTGATAAAATGTTCCATTGCTGCTAGTGGCTGTCAAGCTCTTGCCTCAGTTCTCAGCAGCAACCAGAACCTGAAAATTCTACAGATTGGAGGCAATAACATAGAGGATGTGGGCGTGAAGCTGCTGTGTGGAGCCTTAGTGCATCCCAACTGCCACTTGGAGGTTCTTGGGTGGGTATCGCCAAGGTCATGTTTCTGTCTTCATGGAAGGAAAAAGATGGGAAACTGATGGGCAGAGAGAGAATCAAACTCACTGGGCCTGGGGGTACATGCTTGTAATCGCAGCACTCAGGAGGCAGAGGTAGGAAGATCACAGGTTCAAGGCTAGCCTGAGCTACATAGCAAGACCTTACCTCAAAAAATAAATGGGACTGGACAGGATGTCTTACACTGTACTCCCAGCTACCAAGGAGGCAAGGATTGAGAGGATTGTGGTGCAAGGCCATCCCAGGCAAAAAGATAGTAAGACCCCATCTCAACAACAATAAGAATGACCCCAAAACTGGAGATGGTGGTGCACACCTGTCATCCTAACTATGCCAGAGGTGCAAGTAGGAGGATTGTGGTCCAGGCCAGCCTGGGCAAGAAAAGCATGAAACCCTACCTGAAAAATAACTAAAGAAAAAAGGACTGAAGTGTGGCTTAAGTGGTAAAGCACTTGCCTAGGAAGCGCAGGTCCTGAATTCAATCCAAGTACTTCCAGAGAGAGAGAAAGAGTGAGAAAGAATAAAACTCCAAAGGGGTGACACAATGGTTAGCTGGGGTTGCACACCATGCCACTCCTAGACATTGAGGCTGGGTGTAATGAACACTTACTGCTGGCTAGATGCTGCCCCTCAGGCCTGGCTCATCTCAGGTGGGCAGGCTCACACAGGTGGGTCATCTGAAGGATTGTGTGTTCTGGGTTGGCCTCACTGTCAGGTTTGGAGGCTGCAGTCTGTCCTTATGCTGGGAAGGACAGGTGAGACCAGACCACATCTCATTAACTGGTCAGCTTGGACTTCATGGCACAGGAGCTCAGGATGCCATGACAAAGTGCCATGGGTTTGGTGACTTAGGCAACAGAACTTTATCACCTCAAGGTTCTGTAGGATGGAATTATGAGGTTAAGGTATGTGTAGGGTGGGTTCCTTCTGGAGGGGGAGGGGATCTTTCCAAGCCTTTCTCCTTGGCTATCACCTCCCTGTGTCTTCTTACTGTGTTCCTCCTATGAATGTATCTAAATTATTTCTCCTCTTCCTTCCCCTCAACCTCTGACTTCTTCTCCTTCTCCTTTTTTAGGCAGGGCCTCACTATGTAGCCCAGGGTGGCCTCAAAGTCTCAATTCTCCTCCCTTAACCCCCTGAGTGCTGGGATTACATGTATGCACCACCATGCCTGACTTTAAATTTCCTCTTCTTCAGAGGACACTAATTATACCAGATTAGTGCCCATCCTAATGTTCTCATTTTGACTTCATTGTCTCTATAAAGACCCTGTCTCCAAATGCTGTCACATTCTGAGGTATTGGGGATTAGGACTTCAACATATGAATCTTGAAGGGACACAGCTCAGCCTACAGCAGTATCTCAGGGGTTCAAGGCATGAAGAAGTTTACATGGCATCTGAGATGTAAGTTCAGGACACACATAATGTTCCTCCCATTGTGTTACATTGTCCAAAGCCAGGTACAAGATCAGCCCAGGTTCAAGGGCTGGGGCACAGACTCTACTAGCGGAATGAGCTGCACAGTTCTTTTGCCATGGGCAGAGATGCAGAGAAGATGGGACAGTTGTGGCTGTTTACCACAGAGGGACAAACAATCTGATGTCACACACCCGGGGTTGTAAGATCAAGTCTCCCAGAAGCTGTGGGGTGAGCATTGGGTAAATGTCTAACTCATGTCTTCAGTGTCCCCACTCCTTACAAGGGTCTCTGTATTGCAGGTTGGAAGCCTGTAAGTTGACCAGTGTCTGTTGTGAGGACCTCTCTTTGGTTCTCACCCACAGTAAGACCCTGTGGGGGCTAAACCTGAGTCGGAATGCCTTGGACTACAACGGGGTGGTTGTGCTGTGTGAGGCTCTGAGACACCCAGAATGTTCCCTGCACCTGCTTGGGTGAGGCAGCATCTGTTCTCCTTGGTGGGGAGTCTTCAGGGATAAAAAGGGATCAACTGAGACCCTAAATGTGCAGCTGCTGTAGTGCAGTCTCACTTTCTTTCTTTAAAATTTTATTTTTTTATTGTTGTATGGGGGTACATTGTGAAAATTTTAAAAGTTCTTACAGTAACTTATCATAATTGAATTCATCCCCTCCATCATTCTCCTTTAGCCCCCTCCCATTCCTGGAATAGTTTCAACGGGTCTTGTTTTTCCATTTTCAAACACGAATACATGATATTTCTATCATATTCACCATATCTTCCCCCCTCCCACAGTTGCCAACCCCCAGACAGGATCTGTATAATCCTCCTGTTCTCTATATTAGAAAAAAGACATTTTTGTTTAAGATAGCTCTGCAGGACCAACCCACAAGGACTGATTGACATGAAAATTGTATAGGAATTACAGTGTCTCAAGAATCCCTCTGCACATGTAATCACAATCACCCATGGCTAATTAAGGAAAACCTTCAGGAGGCTGGGGAATCTGCTAATACAAGAAGATGCAAAAGATACATAAATGACATGTTAATGACCCAAAGGCCACTCTTGGTCACTACAACTGGTTTCATTTGAAACATGGTCAATGGGCTTTGGCAGCCTTTACCTTCTTTAAGTGGACAGGTTGATGTATGTAGCCTTTGTGTATATGATTGCTTTACCCTGGAGATCAGTGCTGCTAGACATGTACCTACACTCCCTGCATTTCCCTGCCTCACCACTTATGTCTGCCACGTGCCTAATAATCCTCCCTCAAGGACAGGAGTTCTTGAAGGATCTCCATTGTAGGTTCCCTTTGATATCCCCGGCGCTCCTATCACTATCTCCAGGATTGCAACAATAATATTAACAATAATGTATAATTTAAATAACACAGCCGGGTGTAGTGGTGTGTCTTGTAAACCCAGTCCTTGGGAAACTGAGGCAGTGGGATGGAAAGTTTTCAGCCTGGGCTATATAGTTAGATCCTTTCTTTAAAAAATTAATAAATTAAAAATGACTTCAGGCTTTCTTCCAATCCTCTCAATTCTCTGATTTCTTGTCCCAAACCCTAACTTGTGTACTTTCTATCACCAATTCTGGACAGTGACATCCAATTGGTGCCTTGAAATCACAATTATTGGGTTGCAGAATTTACACCACTGAAATGGGCAAATCATAAACCAGGGTATTTGTGTGGTGTATGGAGGGGTGCAAGGGGTGGGGGAACCCAGTGTTAAACATTTACCTGAGTACCACCACCCATCACAGGTATGTCTGTCCCCTGGGCACAACAGCAGGTTCTCCTAGTCTTGTCCTGGGAAGAAATCATGGGAAAAGATGAGATGCAGAAAACTGTGAATTAATTAGGCCTTTGGGGTATTTTTGTAGGGTGAGCAAAGCTGACTTGGATGAAGAAACACAGGCTCTTCTGACAGCTGAGGAAGAGAAAAATTCTTCCTTGACCATCATAGGTAGCCAATAAGCAGAAACAGGAAACAAGGGTGGAACCCAACTGCAGGCAACCTGGACTCACTTGGATTTGGGAAACCTGCTCAGGACAGGCACTGGGCCCTTGTTTTTACCCATCTGTGTTTGGAATTACAAGTCACTGCCACTCCAGCAAGATGTGATTTTTCTAGCACCCTGTTCAAATGTGTTTTATAAAGTGGATGTGGTTTTTAAATTACTCTGTGGTCTTGTACAAGCCACAGAAAGATCTTCATGATGAAATGTCTATCCTGTCTCACGATGACATTTTTATCACCCAATAAAGTATTATATCTTAAAAAGCTTGGAAAATCTTAAACCCAGATTTGCTACTTGAATGACTAGAGCGACAGTATGGGTGGAAGACACTGTGGTTGTCTCTTCTTGCTGACCTGGAAAGGTACTGGCCGTATTGAAAGTACTAGAAAGGAGGGTCCCACTCAGTCACCTTTCTTTCTGTTCTACTTGAGGTCTAACTAGGGCTCTTTCTCTTCTCTTGTCTGTTTGAAGGTATTTTAAAAGTGTATTTTTAGCTGGGGAAAATGTTGTATGCCAGCAGTCCTAGCTTCTTGGGAGGCAGAGATCAGGAGGATTTGGGTTCAAGACTGACCTGGGCAAAAAATTCATGAGATCCCATCTCAACCAATAAAAGCTAGGCATGGCTGGGTGCTGGTGGCACATGCCTATAATCCTAGTCAGTTGGGAGGTCTTGAGAAAAACTTTTTATAATAAAAATATTGGATTAAAGAATATAAAGTAACTGATGTCAGGCTGAAGAGATGGGTCTCTTGCTTGTTTCAGCTCTGAGAATCTGTTCTCAAGCACAGTTCCTCTGTTATTCCTGGAATTCCTCTATATTTTTCACCTAGAACTCTGCTCCGTCCAGACTCACTTCAGCCTTGCACTAGACATGACCTCACCTATCCAGACTTTTACAATTGTAAGGTAGAAAGTAAGGGAAAGGCAGAGGAGGCAAGGCATGGTGGGTAGAAAGAGGGAAGGGAGGAAAAGTGAATAATTTGGAGAATTGAACAATTCTGCTACCACTTTGCCTGTGATCATGGCCTTGAAGGTACCCTACTAGGTCCCGGGCTTCAGTATTTGGGTAGAGATTTGCCTAAAGAGGAGAATCCTGGAGAGGATTGCCTAAAGTAGTTCATGTACCTCTCCCCACTCTCACCCTACCCTGCCCTCATCCACAGAGAACAATGGAGATACAGAAGAAAAAATAAAATGACATCTTTTCTTCAAGGACTGTGTGTTTCACTTCTGTTTAACTGTGAGAGAACATGGGTGGATAGAAGCCTCAATGTATTGGAAGATCCTTTTGGTGTAAAATATGTACATTCTTAAATAAGAGTGGGATTCAGAGACCAATTATTTTACTTTTTTTGTAATCTGTTGCAAGCTTTTCCTTCAGTATCTTTGTTTATAAACCAATAAATACTATACCCTATATCTTGAATGGCTCTCATGAGACTTGGGACACTCAGCATGGATGTTCTATAAGCTATGAAATGCTAAATAAAATAAATACGCAGTTATAACTTAGGGTAGCCACTATGGAAATCATTATGGAGTTTCCTCAAACAACTAAAAGCAGAACTACAAAATGATCTGTGGTACCGCTCTTGGGCATATATCCAAAGGAATGTAAGTCAGGATACAATAGAGATACCAGCACACCAATATTTATTGCAAGAGTATTCAGAGTAGCCAAGCTGTGGAATCAGCATAGTTGTCCATGAACAGATGAATAAACAAAATGTGGCATATATATATATATATATATATATATATATATATATTCAGACATAAGAATGAAATTATGTCATTTGCAAGAAAATGGAACTGGATATCATCATGTTGAGATAAGCCAGCCTCAAAAAGACAAATACCACATGTTTTCTCTTACATGCAGTATCTATATATTTTTTAAAGTGATCATAGAAGAAGGAGAAGTATTTGAGAACAGGAATGGGACCAATGGGAATGAACAGAGGGGACAAGAGAGGGTAATGGGGATGAACATGACCAAATATACATGTACTAAATATCATAATGAAACTCATTACCTTTTTTACAATTGATCTACACTAATAATAAACCAAAAAGAAATATTGGGTTCTTTCTCACTACTGGTCCTTTTGTCCTTCATTCATTCACCCATTATGTGTCAACAAGTATAGACAGAGTTGTAGAGGCATGATGAGGAAAACTCCCTAAAACACATATTGCTAGACAGCAGTAGTATCTCACAGTACATAGCTTTGAGGTGAAGCAGAGAATTTGCAATTTTTACTAGTTCCCAGGTGAGGCTGATTCTGCTGCTCCAAGGACCACACTTTGACAACCACTGATGTGGAAGGAAAACCTGGCTCTTCAGGCATATCCCATGTCACTTTTAGGAGGGAAAATATACCTGAAGTAAACAAAAAACAGCAGAGCCCCTTGTTTGTTGTGGACTCCCCAATAATAAAGTTTATAGGACTAAAACTCCCCAAATAAAATTTATAGAACTACTTCCTATAAACCTCACAAAGACTACATTTTTCACTCTGCTGATTTCTGAAAATATATAATTGGGACCTATATGAATACAGAAATCCTGTATAAAAACTGCTGTTACTTTATAAAGTTGATAATCTTGTGGGATTTTTTTGCCTTCAACTATTTGTAAATTTCTTTTGTTGGTACTGAGGGGTTTGCACTCAGGGCCTCATGCTTGCTAGGCAGGGGCTCTACCACTTGAGCTACACCCCAAGCCCTTTTGCTTTAGTTTGTTTTTAGATAGGGGTTTTTTAACATAGGGTCTTGTGAGTTTTTCTGCCCACACAGATCTCAGACTACAAGCCTTCTACCTCCACCACCCAAGTATCTGGGATTGCAGGCATGTGCCACCATTGTGATTTTGTTTTATCCTTTCAAACTCCTTGCCCCTTTCACTCTTTCCTGAAAGGTTCTCCTTTTCCTCAAGCTCTGTCTGTCTCCCATTGACTGGGCCTGTTGTACACTAGTGATTCTGAGATCTGCCTTTTGATCAATACAGTTATACTACAAATAGGGAAGATGGGTGTGTGAACAAGATCCATCCAGCAAGTTGCACTACAAGTTTCCCAGAGGGAGGAATCCATTTGGAAATGGGACTCGCACCCTCTAGTACAGCGTTAGCCCTCTATGAGTTTGGGAAGATCTCTAATAGGTAATTTTCTGCTGCTGGTTCTGGAACCTAAGAGGTTGGTGAGGCATTCCTTCACAAATTGGAAACCCCTGTAAGATCACACACCTTGAAGGCCATAAGCTATGGGCCCAAAATGTTAAATGGTTTCAATTGTGCGCAATTCCAAGGAATGATAAGGAGGCCAGTCCCAACCAATAGGAAGGGAGGGTGTCCACTGCCTGGGTTTCCAACCAATAGGAAGCAAGGGTGTCAACAGCCCGGGCTCCAGGATCCTATAAGGGGTTGGAGGGTGGGACAAACCTTGCCTTTCTCTTTATGCTTTGAAGGCTGTGTATTGACAAGGAGCTGGAAGCCTAATTCTCTTCAGAGGTGAGTATTTTGTCTTTTTCCTCTTTTCCCTCCTTCTATTTCCCTCATTATCCTATTTTCTTTTAATTACAATGACAGACACTTAAGTTTACCAAGCCAGGTTGTCCCATGTAGGAAATGCAAAACAGAGACTAGAGATTGAATTCCGGAAATTTCCAGCTCTCATTGATAAAAATCCTTGCCAACCTCTGAAAGTCAGCTTCTCTGTCTCTAATACAGAATCCTCAATTCTGAATTTTCTCCCATCTCAGAGTCCGAGTGTCAAGAGACTAGTGGAGCTAGCAAAAGCCTAAGACCTAAAAGAGATTGTCATTGCTGGTGCTCAGAGGTCTAGGTTAGATACTGACAGATTTGGTCAGAAAAATCAAAATAGCTATAGACAGGAAGAAAAAATAGATATAGATTAGGAAGCAGCTAAAATTAAGTAAGATGGGCATGGTGGTACCCACCTGCAATTCCAGCTACTTGGGAGGCCAAGGGAGGAGGTTGGAGAACTTAAAACCAGCCCAGGGAAAGTTAATGAGACTCTGCCTCAAAAAAAAAAAAAAACCAAAATACAAATAAAACGACTGGAGTGTGGGTGGAGTGGTAGAGAACCTGTCTAGCATGCATGAGGCTTTGGGTTCTATCCCTAGGACTTAAAGAAAACAAAAACAAACAAACCAAAAAGATTCTACTACTGAAAGAGACAGAGGTTATTGCTTTTTACTTCGTAAAAGTGTTTACCCATTCATTTGGCCACTATTTTTAAAACTAAGTGTTGGCAAGGGTGTTGAGAAATGGAACACTTCAGTGTAAGCTAATGGGAATGTGAAATAGAAAACATTACAGCAATTTCTCAAAAGAAAAAAGTTCTTCCTGTCGATGTTCCCATCAGCAGTGAATAAAAAGGAAGCAAGATGCTTTAATTGCAATGTCTTCACTTGTGATGAGTCTGTTGCCCTGAACATTTCTCAAACCTGAAGCTCAGGGCAGTCAGAAGCAGTAAGCAATGCTCCTACCATCAGTGGAGGTGGAAAATGTCACTGTGGGTAGCTATATTCCTCTGTGCAGCGCCACCCACTGGATTGGAGGAGCACTAGCACCCTTGTAAAGAGAGGAAACCCAGCTCTAGACCCAAAGTAGAACTGAGTGAACCAAACAAGTTTGAAGGTGAAAGGAAAGGGGTAGAAGGGGATTGTGACTGAGGTACTTTAGGTGTGTGCATACATGAAAACAGAATAATGAAACCGGTTAAAAAATTTTTACAGGGTTGAGGGGGGGAAAAGAACAAGGGGGAGAACTTGATCAAAGGTCACTGTATACATGTATGGAAATATCATGGTGAACCCCCTTTGTGTAATCAATAAACACTAGTTTAAAAATTTAACAAAGGTCAACTTCTTGGGTGTCAAGAAGTTATGAGGGGAAAAGGTGCTGAATAAGAAGTGGGGTATAGTGGGAGGAGGGGAAAAATATACTCAAGACCCATTTCTTAGGAATAAAAACTATGTGAAATTTGAGATCACTTCAGGTCTACATGGGGCATTCTATTAGCCACATGTTTTCTAGAGTTTAACTCAATTATTTTACCTACCTCTACTTTTTGCTAAACCTAAAAGGCTTTGTCATATTGCACGTCTGCTCCCCAAAACAGAGCACAGAGAATAAAAACCACAAAGTGGATTTGGTATAAATACCAACCCCAAACATTCAGTGGGTCCTCGGTTTTTCCATTGAACTGACAAGCTGTTTAAGAATAGAGGTAAATAGATTATCCACAATGGATTAAACAAATCTATCCTTTTTAGTGATGGTAGTTTCATTTTCTTATTCTGTGTCTCCACAGGTATCCTCTGCTCTTGCCATGTGTCTTTACAACTGACACTGAGGTGTTGTCAGCCTTGTGTAAAGATGACTAATGTGAATCCAGAATCCCTCCCTCCCCTCCCTGCACCCTCCTCCTCCAGCCCTTATTCCTTTCTCCCACCCCAGACACCCACTTGCTCTCCGACCTCCCCTTGTGACAATGGGGTCATGTTGTACTTGTCTCACCTAAGCAAGAAGGAGCTACGAATGTTCAAGCAGCTGTTAATGAACATGAAGCTCAGACCTGGCTCTGTCCACATCACTTGGGACCAGCTGGAGAGAGCCAGTTGGGCAGAAGTAGTCCATCTCTTGATAGAGCACTTCCCTGGAAGACTAGCTTGGGATGTGACTTGTGACATCTTCACCAAGATGGACCAGAAGGAAATGTGTTTTCTGGTACAAAGAGAGCTAAACAGTGAGTGATGGTCTGGTCTACCAGATAGAGGTGGGCTTGGGTGTTCAAGAGCTGGATACTGGCCACCATATGACTTACTGGTGACCTGAATGAAAAAGCAAATAGTGGGGTGAGATTATGGATCTGGCCCCAAAAGGCAGAGTCTATCATATTGCATATTTTAAAAAACTTACCCAGATACTGATAACAGGTAAGCTTTAAATAAAGACAGAGGAGTATGAGGTACAATGGTGGGAAAATATATACAGCCAAATGTCACTTGACAACAGGATGCATTCTGAGAAGTGGTCATTAGGTGATTTCATCATTGTGTAAACATTATATGATGTACTTGTGTAAATTTAAATGGCTATGTCATCACCAGGTATGATATGAGATAATGGAGTCACCATCCTATATGTTTCCCACCATTGACTAAATGAAAACATTAGTGTGGTGATGTATCATGGTAATGTTTAAGACAAGATGATTAAAGACTAAAAGTGTCATTTTTCAATGATAAAGGGACCAATCCTACAGGAGGGTATTGCTGTCCTATACCTCTCTATCCATAACACATCTTCATCATATACAAAGCTAAATTTCACTTCTGAAAGGAAAATGGAAAATCCATCACACACATTGTGAGGTGTTAACCCAGCTCTACAAATAGCAGATGTAACAAGTGGCCAATGTTCTTATCAGTAAGAACAGAGAAGACATAAACTATATCATTTTAAAAGGTAAGGGCGTGGCTCAGCAGTACAGTGCCTGCCTAGCAAGCACAAAGCCCTGAATTCAAACCCCAGTGCCACCAAATAAATAAATAAATAAATAAAATGTAAACAGCAGGACAGCAGGTGGCTTTTCTGTCTCCTCAGCCACTGTCAACCCAGCACCTGGCTTAGCACCCCACATATAATAGGCACTCACAAATTGCATGGCCACTGAATAACTGGTTGAGAAGAGCGACTTGCTTCAGAAAAGGTAGCCCAGGAACTGATTAGTCCTCTTGCAGGAAGTGAACTAAGGCTGGGACCTAACGAATGAAGGAATAGCTACTCCCATGAGAAGGAGGGAGAGGGAATGCAAAAGAAAATCAGCAATTAGGGAGACCTCAAGATTCAGATGTAGAGAAAAATCTTAGTATTGAGGAACACAAAATGATTGTATTGTTTAGAATTCGATGAGAACAGGGAGCAGAGACAGACAGACAGACAGGGACACAGACACTGATGATCCACTTTATGATGAATCCATATTTACAAATTTGCCTCCTTGCTGCAATTTACTTGTTAATCTAAAACCAATGCTTACAAGGATGTCAAGGCCATTCCCAGTCAGACAGAGCAGCAAAGCCCTGCTTAGCGACACCTGCTCTCAGCCAAGAACAAGCCAGGCAATGCTTTCAGCTCTCACTTTGTACCCAAGTATTCATCCCAGTCCTCTCGGTGCCTCAGTTTTGTGCTTCTAGTGTGTTATGCTATTCAAAATGGCACCCAAATGTAGTAATAAAAGGTCTTCCAGTGTTCCTAAGCTCAAAAAGTAATGTGCCTTACAGAGAAAATGTTTTGTTAGAAAGTTTCATTCCGGCATGAGGTATAGCCCTTGTCAACTGTGAGTCCAGTGTTAATGAACCAACAATAGATAATTATAACACATGTTAAATAAAATGAATTTAATGAAATATTTTTAAACAACTTTCTTAACTATATATTTAATCACTATATTAAATGTATTTACCATTGACTTTTTTGGCAGTACTGGGCCTCAGTCTTGCTAAACAGCTGCTTTACTACTTGAGCCACACTCCAGCCCATCTTCTTTAAATAAAAACATATAAAACAAGGTTATGTCTTATCAGTTGATGAAAATGTTGTAATTAAAGGCTAATAGGAACTTAGCCCTGAATTTGCTTGGGTGCAATGCTTGAGTATTGACTAATTCCGTGTCCACAGTAATTTTGTAGAACATAGCTATAAAGACCAATGCCTATGTGTATGTGTGCATGTATACATATACATATATACATATATACCCATATGTAGATATAAAAGTATGTGTTTTACACATGCATGTGTGTGTTAGTGTGGGCATTTATACATATTCAGTATCCTAACTGAAAATTCAAAATCGTAAGTGTTCCAAAATCTGAAACGTTTTTGAGCCCTGACATGTCACAAGTGGAAAATTCCACACCTGACTTCATGTATTGGGTTATAGTCAAAACATAGACATGCTTAAAATGTACACTTTCAGGCTCTGTTCTGTAAAGTTATGTAGGAAATCTAAATGAATTATATGTTTAAAATTGTGGCCCAGTCTCAAAATATCTTATATATATACAAATATTCCAAAATCTGAAAAAAAAATTCCAAAAATTTGAAACACTGCTGTTCCTGATGTTTTGAATAAAGAGCTTGTTAGCTTGAATAATATTTGCTTAGTACTTGGCTGGACTTCATAGCTATGATATGTTACTGGATACCTCTCTCGGTGCATCGTAAAACAACACTATTTCCTCATTCCCTAAAATTACTGTCATGGAGATGGAAGTAGTTTTCTTCTCCCTGAACTGAAGTGGTGAGACAATGAGGCTCTTAACCTGTGTGGCCACCACTGTCTTAAAGAGCTCCTTGCCTCAGAATCACTCCTTCTCATGCAAGTTTGTTCCAATTTGATTTGACAGCCCTTTCTTGTCTGTTCTAGGCATCCTACCCACCTTGGAACCAGAGAATGTGGGTCCAATAGGAACACGAATGGCTTTGAAGGAGGAATGTGGTAGGTGCCAACACTGGGACAGTCCAGGGTGGTGTGTTGGGTGAGAAGCCCGGTTGCATCATCAAAGCAGGTTGTGAACTACTGTGTCAAGGATCTCTTCTACCAATGAGAACTTAAGCATCTATGATCTCACCTGAGTAGAAAGCCCAGCCTCTGGCCCAGGTGGATGAAGGGGCTCAAACCATATCAAGGAGGTGTGACTTTCCCTCACCCAGCTCACTCTTCTGTAGGGCTCAACCATGAGAGCCACTCCCTTGCACAGTGGCCATCTTTGTCACCACCTGCTCTAACCATATGCTGTCCTTGCTTAGCAACTCCAACAGGAAAATGCTTATTTTCCAATAATTCCAGCAAGACTCCTAGAATTGAATCCAGAGAACAGACTAAGGTATGTGATCAGTAGTCAATAAAGCACTCCACTGATTATAAAGAGCTCACATGGAGTCACCCCTGTATCTGTGGGAATTTGGTGTAGAACTTCCTTGGATACCAGAATTCATGGATGCTCAAGTGTCTCATAAAATGATGTAGTATTTGCAAAAACCTACGTATGTCCTCCTGTATGCTTTAAATTATCTCTAAATGACTTCTAATACCTAATATGATGTAAATTCTATAACAAATAGTTGTTATACTAGTGGTGGAGTGCTAAGCCTTGCATATGCAAGGACCGAGGTTCAATCCCCAATACCACAAAAGAAAAGAGTCCTTCTTACTGATTTAGGACTGGGAATAGGGCTCAAGTGGTAGAGCATTTTCCTAGCAAACATAAGACCCTGAATTCAAACTCCAGTGCTGGAAAAAAAAAGGGATAATGATAAGGAGAAAAGTCTGTACCTGTTCAGTGTAGAGAGGTACAGGGATTGTAAAAACCATTTTCTATATACAGCTGGTTGAACCCATGATGTGGTATGGAACATGAGCAATGGAGGGCCAACAAGGGTGTAAGAGATAGCAGGTGGTGGGGTCAGTCATGGTCCAGCTCAATGCAAAGAAAAACTGGAGTGCTACAGGCCAGGCTCAGGGGCTCATAACTGTAATCCCAGCTACTTGGGTGGTGGAGATCGAGAGGATTATAGTTAGACCCCAGTCTGGGCAAAAAAGCTACCAAGACCCCACTTAATCAGCAAGCTGAGTATGGTGGCACATGCCTATGACTCCAGCTATTCAGCAAGCTGAAGGAGGAGGATCATAATCCTAGGCCATTTTCCAGGCAAAAAGCATGAAGCCACCCTGAAAAACAAAATGGCTGGAAGCATGGCTCAGAAGGTAAAGCCCCTGCCAGGCAAACATGAGGCCCAGAGTTCAAATCCCAGTACAGAAAAACAAAAAATTAGTGCTGTCACCATGGTTAGGAGACCAATAATTCCCATAGGTTTCTTAATCCATCCGTCCACTCCTCAGTATCCAGGGCCATAAGAAACAGGATTCTAGAGCCCAAATTCTATAAGTGTGGAGCAGCCATTCTCAATCAGACCATGTAAAGAAGTGAGAACAAAGGAAAACAGAGTAACTGGCACATGATGTCACCAACTCTGGCCATAGCAGGGCTCAGTGTCCTCCCTAGCACGTCCTGAGAGCCAAGAGTTTGAGCAACACCCTGAGTCAGAATCCTACTCTAACACTCAAGATGAATGCTTAGAAAAATCTGTGACACGTTCAAGGTCACAAAGCTAAGAAATAAGTAGACCTCAGACTCTCAAAGAGCTGCCTGCTACCTGGCAGCCAGGGACACAGCGGGAACCAGAGGATGTGGCTGCCTCTGTGCAGTTTGCAATTGCAGGGATGGGGAAGGAGACGAAGGAGAGAGAAAGAGACAGGAAAATGGAGGGACACGGGGAGAGAGGAAGAGCTTTCTACCAGTGAGCTATACCACCAGTGTATTTAGTTGTACCTTCCTCTTTTTTTTGGCAGGGCCTCATGCTTGCTAGGCAGAGGCTCTACCACTTGAGCCACTCCTCAGCCCCTTTTTCTTTAGTTATTTTTCAGATAGGGTCATACATTTTTACCTGGGACCAGCCTCAAACCAGGACCCTCCTTCCTATGGCCTCCTATGTAGCTAACAGGTACATACCACCATGCCCAGTTTATTGAGTGAGATGGGGTCTAGCTAACGTTTTGCTCCGGCAGAACCAGTAGCCTCCTGATTCAATCTCATGAGTTGAGTAGCTGGAATTACAGATGTGAGCAACCACACCTGTCCATTTGAGCTTCTTGATTGGTGTAGTTGTTTTAGGAAAGGTATGAGTTATACACAAGTAGATGATGGAATATAATTGAGGCTGACATCAAGACTGGTTTTTCTTTTTTGGCGATACTGTTGTTTGAACGCCAGGCCTCACACTTCCTGGGCAGGGGCTCTAACACTTGAGCCACTCAGTCATCAAAACTGCTTTTCTTGTTATTCTGTTAGTTCTCATAACAACTCTGATGCTGTTCTCTGTATTTCTTCCATCTCATGAGTCTAGATAAAATGCAAGAGTACAGATTGCATGTTATGGAAACATTTTGCCCCATATGGAACAAGACAGCTTGGCCTGGAAACCACAAGGACTTCTTGTACCAGGATGTACACAGACACAAGGAGCTCTTATCATGTTTATTTCTACCACAAAAACCTCAGGGCAGACAGCCCAAGACCGTGGTCATTCAGGGAATTCCTGGGATTGGAAAAACAACCCTGGCCAGAGAGGTGATGGTGGCGTGGGCACGAGATGAGTTCTACTCGCACAAGGACTGGCGTGCTTTCTTCTTCTGTTGTGAAGACCTGAACCGAGTAGCAGAGCAGAGCTTCTCAGAGCTGATTGAGCACAAGTTTCTCTGGTCACAGCATCTCGTGTCAAAGGTTTTGTCCAAACCAAACCAACTTCTCCTTGTCTTTGATAGCTTTGAGGAATTCACATCTCCCCTCATCAAAAGACCAGATGATCTGAGTGAAGACTGGACCCAGAAATTGCCTGGTTCTGTTCTCCTCAGCAGCTTACTAAGCAAAAGGATGCTTCCAGAAGCCACACTTTTGATCATGGTCAGATTGACCTCCTGGCCAACTGTCAGACACTTGCTGACATGTCCCTCAATCGTCACCCTTACTGGGTTTAACAGGATTGAGAGAATCAAATATTTCAGGGAATATTTTGGAAATACGGGGGAGGTGGATCGAGTTGTGAATTTTGCCACAGAAAATGCAATTCTGTTCTCCATGTGTCGGGTCCCTGTGGTTTGCTGGATAGTTTGCTGTTGTCTGAAAGAGCAAATGAAGAAAGAAGGAAATCTCACACAGGTTTGTCCAAATGCCACATCTGTGTTCGTCTTATATCTTTCTACCTTGTTTCTGACCACATCTAAGAACCTTTCCAACCGAACTCGCCAAGAACAACTGGAAAGTCTTTGTCACTTGGCTGCAAGGGGCATGTGGAATGTGAAGTGTGTGTTTGGGAAGAAGGATCTTGAGCGAGCCATGGTGGATGAGCCCAGTCTCACCTCCTTTGTCGAGGCGAATATTCTTCAAAGGGTTAAAGGTCATAGGGACCGCTATATCTTTGCCCTCTTCATTTTCCAGGAGTTTTTTGCTGCCTTATTTTATGTTCTCCGTTTTCCACACAGACTGAAAAGTTATCATGTGGTGGGCCACATGGAAGTCCAGTGTCTGATTGCAAGTCCCGGAGGAAGCAAAAACTTCCTAGCTTCCCTGGGACTTTTCTTATTTGGCCTTTTGAATTCTGCATGTGCATCAGCCGTGGAGCTGTCCTTCCAGTGCAAGGTGTCCTTGGACAATAAGAAGAAAGTGCTGAAAGTTGTAGCTCAGTTGAATGAATACAAGCCGCCTCCTCCATGCTGTGGGGTTCCACAGTTCTTCTACTGTCTGTCTGAAATCCTGGAGGACGCCTTCATCAGCCAGGCACTGAAGGGTTACTGCAGTGCCCCTTTGAAACTTGACAGTGAAAAAGACATCCAAGCATCTGCTCTTTGCCTAAAGCACTGTCGAGATCTAAAGGAGGTGGAGTTGACTATCTCAGAGAACCTGTTGAAGGAGCAGTGGCCTGGCCCAGAGAACACCATCCATGTCTCTGAGTGAGTGCTGTGTCTCTCAGGGTGCAGCCCTCTCTCTGCAGGGACCTTGTCCATGGTCTTTGAGACATTTAGGGATCAAGCATGAGGGTAACCTCATGCTCCACGGGTGAACTTCCAAAGCATTCTGGTCCCTACTATGCACAATTCTTCTATCATAAAATCAGCATTAGCCCTGGGCTTCCTCCTAGCTTCCTTCAAGTTTAATCTCTAACAATGTGCCATTCTCTCTCATCTTTATCCTCTCATGTAGGATAAGAAACCTGTACTATGGATACTGGCAAGACATCTGCTCTGTGTTTGGGACAAATGAGGGTTTGGAAGTCCTAACTGTGACAGATACTACCATGGAACCTGAGTTTGTGAAGGTTTTTACCACTGCATTGGGACATCCCCGTTGCAAACTACAAAGGCTATCGTGAGTACAAAGTAGAAACTATCACAAGTTCTTGCCTCTACTGGCCGCTTCCTGCTGGGAGAGCATCCAGGGGGCCATCTCTTCCAATTCAGTGTCCTCCTTCCCTCCCCATTCCCACACACTTCATGGAAACTCCCGTGTGCAAATTCTGTAGAATGACTTTTCAATTTTTATGGGTGTACATACTTGTGGGGTACACTGTGACAGTTCAATACATGGATGTCCCATGTGTAAAGAACAAATCAGGGTAATTAGCATGTTCATCATTTCAAATATTTATCATTTTGCTGTGTTGAAAACATTCAAAATCCTCACTCCTAGCTTTTTTATTCTTCTACCTATTTTGGAATAAACTATTCATGTTTTTAAACTATTCATGTTTCACACTTGTTAGGCAGGTGTTGTACCACTCTTCCTCTGTACTTCTGTGAAAGTAGGTGTAGTTGCAACCCCAACCCTTTTTGCTTTAGTTTTTCAGACACTCTCATACTCATGCCTAGTTCCAGTCTCAGATGGTGATCTCCTACCTCTGCCTCTCCCAAAGCTGAGATCATACGTATGTGCAACCATGCCAGCCTTGTTCTTTGAGATAGGATCTCACTAGCTTTGTGTCCAGGCTGGGCTCCTACTATGATCCTCCTATGTACACCTTCTGAGAAGCTGCGATTACATGTATGAGCCACCGCACCCAGAAACAATTCAATATTTTTAACTATGATCACCCTCTGTGCTATAGAACACTAGAACTTACTCTTTATACAAATTGTCCTTTTGTACATAATATCAAAATCCCTCTCCATCCCTCCCTCCCACCTACTCCTCTGCATCTAATGACCACTATTTTACTCTTTACTTCTATGCTATTTGGGGATGTGGATGCAGCTCAGTGGTAGAGCACTTACATAGCATGTACAAGACTCAGGGTTCAATCCCCAGCATGATAAAAAATAAAATTAAATGAAAAACTTCTTTAAGAGACATTTAAAAATAGAGTTATGGCAAGATCAAAGAAAGAAAAGAAAAGAAAAGAAAAGGAGAGAAGGAGGGAGAGAGGGAGAGGAAGGAAAATGAGGCAAAGGACAAGAGAAGAAATAGTTGACCATGCCTTGTTTGCTCCTGACCAGTAGCTATTTTCTCTGCTACTATAATGATTACATCCTCTGCAGGGTATGTGGTGCCACTATGTGACAAGCATGGGCTAGATGTTTCACAGGACTGTGTAGATGAATTCCCATATCCATCCTTATGAGGAAACGCCATATGCTCTCTCATAAGCCTGAAAATAAAGCTTGCAGAGGTCGGGTGAGTTTCACAAGGTCCTCCAACCAAGGAGGTTGGACTGAGATGGAAACTCGGGTCTGAGTTCTGTGTTGCCCAGAAAGGGCCTCACATATAATTTTATCAATTAGTCTCTCCTTGTGACTTATTGCTTTTCTATTACAGGACATGTATTTGTTCCAATTTTTATTTTTTAAACATTTTTATTAGTATATGACGGTTTTACAAGGGGTTTCACAGTGACATTTCCATAGATACATGTATATTATGCCCTGGTTTGGTTCATCCCCTCCATTATTCTCCCTCCCATCCCATTCCCCTTCTTAAGGTGACTTAAGGTGACCTCCATGTTTATACTTGTATAGGAAGTGCATAAACTATACCCATCCTCCTTAATCTTCTTTGTTTACCCTCTCCCTCCTCTAAACATGATCTGTTATACATTCCTGTCCTTCATTGTTTAGGTGACTGTTTGACATTCAGTGGGTATTTTGCCTTTGTATTTTACCTGTAAATATTACACTTAGATCAGTCTAATCCCCTCCATTACTCTTCTTCAAACATCCCCTCTACCCTGTATTAAGTTTTCAGTGTATTTCATTGTCTTGTTCCTACACGACTATTGTTCACTCTTTATCGTTGTTTTCTACCTCTGTCTCCCTCTAACAGTCCCACTTTTGGAAACATGCTTTGTATATATTTGTGTATATATGATATGTATATATGTATGATACACACACACACACACACACATATATATATATATATATATATTTATATTGTATCTTCCACATATGAGAGAAAACATGCGACCTTTGTCTTTCTGAACCTGGCAACCTGAAGATGATGATCTCCAGTTCCAGGGTCAACCTTTAGTGTCTGTGTCCTGAATTTGTTTGTAAATTCCCTGAGAATGGGGCCCTGCCTATCTCATTAGCTGCTGTATCTTCCAAACACAGCCTAGTGTGATGATCACAGAAATTGTCATGGTGCCCTGTCATAATCAGACACTGATTCCCTCTGCAGATTAAGGCACGTGGGAAACAGCATGTTGTATGAAGACTTATTCCATGTTTTGATTGAAAACCTGCATCTAAGATACTTGGAGATACAACACACAGAGATGGGACAGGGAGCCATGAAGTCTCTGTGTGCAGCGTTGAAATTCCCCGAGTGTCATCTGCAGAGTCTTAGGTAAAGCTGGGTTTGAGCAAGAATCCTGGGACAGGATCTGCAGACCTAGTAATAATCTCTGCTACATCACTGTACTCTGCTGTCCTGGTGCTGATAGCCAGAGCCAGTATGTCAATGAATGGACATAGCCATGTGCCAATAAAACTATTTGTAAACATAGAAATTAGAATTTTACATACTTTTCATATCACAAAACACTCCTGGATATTTGAACCATTTAAAAATGCTTTTAGTTGGGCTGGTGGTACATGCCTATAATCCCAACACTCAGGAGGCAGAGACAAGAGAATCACGATTTCTCAGCCACCCTGACTTACATAGTAAGATTCTGTCTCAAAAAATATTTTTAAGGTACATTCTCAGTTGTGTAATACCAAATAGCAGGCCAATTTGGCCCTGGAGTCATTGTTTGCCAGCTCCTGCTCTATGTTCTAGAGGTGGTTGATGTCAGCTGACCTTAAAGTGGAAATGCTAGACAATGGTGCAGTGCTACATGTCTTCTAGACCCCTCCTTCAGTGACTTCCTGTTGGAGGCTTCTCATTAACCATGGCATGAGTATTTATACCACAGACATTGACACTTTCCATAACCAATGAGGGAAGTATTTGTACTGCAGACTTTAGCAGACACTTCCCATTAGCCATGGAGGCTACACCACAGACATTGGCAAATGCTTGCTATCAGCCATGTTGGGAGTATTTACACCACAGACAAAGGCAGACACTTCCCATACCCATGGCAGGAGTATTGACACTGCAGACTTTAGCAGACACACCCCATTGGCACATGAGTGGTCAGGTATTCACCAGTACACAGCAGCTTAATGCCTACTTACCAACCTTTGGCAATTTAATGTTCCTTGTCAAACTGTATTCATCCTCCTTTACATCCATCAGAGCTGAATGCAGCTCAGATAGTCTGTACATTTAAAGCCCTGTACTGGGTTGAACTCAGCACTTCTCACTTGCTAAGCAGGCGCACTATCACTTGAGCCATGGCCCTCACCTTATGGCCCTTGTTTTACACAGCACAAAGCTCCAATAGCCAGAACCTGGACTTGGTCCAGCATAATCACTGGTTAAAATTCTTCAGAAGCAGTCCAGCTCACTGAGAAACCCAGCCTGAGAAGGTGGCAGCAGTGTGACTTAGGATACTGCATGGCTGGATCTCTGGTCTTGAGCTTGATGCTTATTTACCAAATAAATGTAAAAAGAGAGAATGAGTGGGAGCCTGATTGTTATCTTATTCTAATTAGTTATAGATCCAAGTGTGTATGTGTTGTCTTACTAATAATTCAAAAGTAAGGTATCTTACTTGATGTGAAGTTTCTGGCAGGGGAAGTTAGAAATAACCCTGAAGTCACTCTTCTGTGAAGACCAGGAATGTGATGTGATGAGAAGGGTCTGTATGGCTGTGTAGATACCATTTTCCCCAGGAGCCTGAGGCTTGGCAGTTTTGTGTGACTTCTACAGGTTGGAAGACTGTGTGGTCAGCTCTAGAGACTGGATGGATCTTGCCAGTGATCTTCAAGGGAACACACGCCTGCGGACACTCCTGCTGAGAAGCAATTTCCTAGACAGATTTGGGGCACTTTTCCTGTCAGCAGATCATCTCAAGAGGCTCGCGTGAGTCTCCTTATTGTTGTTATTGTTTGGTTGGAGGGGTTTGTTTCTGGGAGAAGTGCAATTATTGGGGAAGGTAAATATATTGGAACAAACAAATCCTATGATTGATGTGATGATATAGCTAGGTCTATTGAGTTCAGGAGAGGTAGGGAGGAAGGAGGAGGAGAAGGGTGAAGAGAAGGGGAGAGAAAGAGAGAGTGAGAGAGAGGGGGAAGGGGGAAGAGATATATATAAAGGTATATATTTATACCTAAGTCCCAGAATAAATCACTGCAATAAGACCTGGGTACACACTATCCAGCTGAAGAAGTAGGCCCTTACCAGTACTCTGTTCTCCAATCTGTGGTTGTACTGACCCACATATCCACAATGTGGTTGATTGGCCTCTCTAATTTCATTGACAGTATTGCTGCATACTTCTCCTAAACCAGGGCATCACATAGTTTTGCATTGCTTTGGATTTCACATAAATGGCATCACCTGCTCTGTGTTTACTCTTCTGATCAACATTTTACTGTCCATTTATGTTCAGTTGCCTTTGTAGTCAGGTTCTTTTCATTGCTGAATGAATAGGAAGCAAGTTACTTGTTCCTTGCACCAGCAGAATGAGGTACGTGATGCTTCCTGTTCTTAGCTACAGACACAGGAACACATATGCATACATGGGTGCACCCATAAGCGCATGCACACACACACACACACACACACACACACACACACACATGCAGCTACACAGAGGCAGGTGCACACACAGGCACACACACACACACAAGCACACACAGAGGCACACACGGACATATCTATACACAGGCAACATACACACAGGGGTATACACACAGGCACACGTGTGCACAGTTGCACATGCACATAGGCACATAAATCCCATAAGGGACCATCTAGCAGCAGAACTCCTGCCCAGTTGTCATCCATCTTCCATCTACCACACTTATCTGCAGGTGTCTCCAGTCCCCTCAGTAGTGCATATAAAAGTTCCCATAACACCAAACTCATCCAACTCTTGTGACTGTCAGTAGTTTTGCAACTTTTTGTCAGTCTGTTGAAGAAGAAATGGTGCCTTATTGTTTTAATTTGTGTTTTCTTTTCTTGATGAACATTTTTTCATAATCTTACTATTTCTAAGTTTCTCTAATATGCCTGCTGCTCATGTAATTAATATATCGTTCCTTTTTTAGAATTTTTATTAGCATAAATTAATTGTACAAAGAGGTTTCATTGTGATATTTCCATACATGTATATAACATACTCTGAATAAAGTCACTTCATTCAGAGTATGCTTTTAAAAATCCTGTTCTCCTCACGGGCCCACCTTCCTCCCCAAATCCCCCTTTTACAATCATGTCATATTATTTTTATTTTTAAGGACAAGATTCCACATAGAGAAAATATGCAATATTGGTCTTTCTGACCTTGGCTTATCTCACTTAACATGATGATCTCTGGTTCCATCCATTTTCCTGCAAACAACACAAATTCATTCTTCATTTTGTCTCTTCCTGAGCCATCTCCAGATCTGATGTTTATTCTTCAGTCACTGTTGGTCTCTGAATCCCAATGTATCTCTATGTTCCCAACCCTCTATTCCTACATTTTGTTCTTCCACAAATGTTGGAACCTATAAGAGGTGATGACAGACCTGTGAAGGGGCTCCTTCTTCCAGAAGAACCCAGGCCAAGGTGGACATCTCTTAGTGTGAGATGAAGGAAACATAGTCGTGGCCATAAATTAAATTGTATCCCATGTGTGTTTCTGTCCCATAGGTTGGAGAACTGTAACATCACAGAGGTCTCTTGTGAAAGTCTTGCCTTGTCTCTCAGGCATAGAAAAAGGTTGACTCACCTAAGCCTGGCAGAGAATGCCCTGAAGGATGAAGGGGCAAAGCACATCTGGAAAGCCTTGGGCTGCTTGACATGTCCTTTAAAGAGACTGGTGTAAGTCCCCACATGCTTTCTTCCTGCAACTGCATGGTCAGACCAGGGCGATTGAGAAAACCTGTTTTCTAAAATATTTTTATTAGCATATTTTATTTTTACAAAGTGAGGGGTTTGTGAGGTTTCTATGCATGCATGTAATGTACTTAGATCGTATTACCCACTATTACTCTTTCTTACTCCCTCCAATATACCCATTTTAAACTGTCTTACAAATTTTAAATTTCATTATGACCTTTTCATATGTGCATGCAACATACTTCAATCATTTACACACACACACACACACACACGTACAATCTCTCTTCCATTTTCTACCTCCTGCTAATTATTTTTCTCACAGACACTTTCACAGTCCCTAACAGTCTCAATGGTAGAAGAGGTTCTACATTCAGGTCTTCTTTTGTGCTTATTCTTTTTAGTTTCCCCACATGAGAGAAAACAGGCAATACTTGTATTTCTGTGTCTGGCTTGTTTCTGTTAGAATGATGATCTACTATTCCAACAATTTCCTGCAAATGACATCATTTTATTCTTTATGGCTGAATAATACTCTATTATGTATTTATATTTATGTTACTTATCCTTTCTTTCATTGATTCCATAACTTGGCTGCTGTGAACAGTGCATGATAAACATGGGTGTGCCAGTGTCTTCATGTGTGCTGCATTAATTCCTTCGTGTACATGACCAGGAGTAGTATTGCTCAATCTTATCATAGTTCTATTTTTAGCTTTATGAGGACCCACCCTCATGACTTTGACAGTGGCTGCACTAAATGACATTCCCAGCAACACTGCTTAAAGGTACCTTTTTATCCATATCTTGAAGAGCATTTATTTCTTTTGTAGTGGCCATTCTACCCTGGGTGAGATGGAATCTCCAGGCAGCAATTTTCCTTTTGGATAAAGATACTGAACATTTTTATGTGTTTATTGACCATTGCTTTTCTTCCGAGAAGTGTCCATTCATATCACTTGCCCATTTTGTATTGAATTCCTTGATTTTTCCTTTATTTATTGCTGTTTGTTGAACTCTTTATATATTTTCAATATTAATTCTCAGTTAGAGGACTAACAAAGATTTCCCCCATTCTGTAGGCTATCTCTTCTTTTTTGTTGATTATTTCTTTCCTGTGCAAATTTTTACTTCCTTTGTGGTGATACTGGGGTTTGAATTCAGGTCCTCACATTTGCACAACCTCTACAGGAGCTCTATCACTTCAGCCACTCTGCCAGTTCCATTTTGTGTTGGGTTTTGTCGACATAGGGTCTTGTGAACTATTTCCCCAGGCTGACTCTGAACCACGAGCTCCTGATTTCCTGCCTCCTGAGTAGGAATGATATAAGTGTGAGGCACTGGTGCCCAGATTTGCAGAGCTTTCTAATTTGATGTACTACTACTTGTCAATTTATGTTTTTGTTTCCCAAGTTTTTAAAGTCCTTCCAAGGGAATTATTGCCTGCACCAATATCTTAAAGATTTTCCCTAGTAGTTCAGGCCTTACATTAAGGTCAGTGATCATTTTAAGGTGATTTTTGTACAGAGTGAGAATTAGGAATAGTTTCAGTCTTCTATATGTGAATACCCAGTTTTCTCAACACTATTGTTGAAGAGGCTGTCTTTTCTACAGTGTATGTTTTCGGCACCATGGTCTAGAATCATATGGATAAAGATGCATGGATTTATTTCTGGGTTCTCTATTATATTCCATTGGTCTACATGTTTGCTTCTCTGACAATACCTTGTTGTTCTTGTTACTAGGGTTCTGTAGTATAATTTGAAGTCTGATAAATTCAGCATTGCTGTTTTTGCTCATGATTGCTTTAGGTCATATGAGTGACCTAAATACGAATTTTGGAATTTTTCTGTGAATCTTGGAGCTCTTCTGTGATGAATGTCCTTGGTAATTTTCTTGGCAGTAATGGAGTTTGAACTCACAGCCTCATGATTGCTAGGCAATAATGCCCCAAGCTCTTTTTATCTTTATCTTTTTTCCTTAGTATTGTGGTCTTATCTAAAGCCTGCCTCAGACTCCTTTCTTCTACTTATGGTGACCCATGTCTAGGATGACAGATGTGTGCCACCAGGAAACACAGCAGCCATCTTCCAACAACAGCAATTGCAGATGGCTGCTGCTACCAGGGTGCTCCAAATATCCACTCATCCTGTTTGCAGTCATTCCAAATTCACAATTTAGATTGTGCTACCTTTCTTTGAGGGTGTTATGTTTTTGGGAAAATACCTCTGACTTTTCAGGTGAAGGAATCTACCTCATGTGCCTGCACCTGACTGGTGAGAAAAGGAGAAGGGCTCACTTTGCCATACAAGGTAAGAGGTGGACACCTCTTCAAATCAGACTGTGTGGTGTGAGATGCCACAGAGGTGTGAAGGAGGTAGGCAATGCACAGCCCTGCAGAAGAGGGTGGATGCTCACTGCCCTTTTATAGGACAACTTCTGACTCACCTGTTTGCATATTAAGGACTTCCTCTTCTCCACCTCCTGTCTACCATATCTCAGTTGCATAACTCTCCCTTGGCTGAAAAAACTTATGCTTTTCTAACCCACTACACTGAAATTCCTTTCAGAGGAAACTGTTCTACACTTGGACTCTTGCTTCCTTTTATTCAGAAGTCTTCAGTGTCTGCTGTGTCAGACCCAATCTCTATGATGACAGAATACAGAACTGATGACAGACTTGTCTCTTGCTCCCAAGCAATTGATAGTCTACAGCAGTGGTCTTCAGGGAAATTCAGCAATGTTGTGAAATATTTGTTATCACAACCCAGTTCATTGACTCATATCTCATTAAAGACCCATGAATCACAATTTGAAAAGCATTCCCGAGAGAGGTGGAGTACACAGTCAATAGGTTATGACCGCTTCGTGCAATAGATGTCCCAGAAGAAACTATAGGATGCCATTAGAACAGGTGAGATGGCCATGGTGGGTGTAATTTAAGTGACATTGGATTGGGAGGAGGTGAGAACATTCAGCTGCCTTATTTTTGCCCAGCCTTGTTCATGGCCTGGATTCTGAATCATATCCACTGAGAACAGTGTTCTCTGACCAGTCTTTTAAAACAGTGCAGGAGCCTCATAGTTCCCAGCCACAGAGTGCCCAGCTCTGAGGGTCAGGCATGCTCCTTTTTCACTTTCTATTTCTCCCTGCTTTACCTTGCTGTACCAAATAAATCTTCACTGGTTTTTATCTATGAGCCTCCTTTGTGAATCTGTTCCAAATTCTTTTTGTCATGGAATTTAAGAGCCTACAACCCAGAAGGCAGTTAGTTGAGGATTCATTCCCTGTCTCTTTTGGGGGATCCTTCTCGCCTCAAACCCTTTCCTGGTGATAGAGGTTTGGCTAGCCAGTCAGGAGGTACCCAGGAGGCAACCCTTTGCCCTATCATTAAGGATGCTCACCAGGTAGGTAAGGCCTTTTGTCAAGCTTTGGGGACTCACCTCAGATCCCCCTCTATATGCATATTTGTGTATTTTCTAAAATCCACCTTTAGCCACGGCAGAAGCTTTCTTTTATAGTGTCTTCCGTGCTTCTTCTACCTCTGCTACTCTGGCCCAGACTAACCAATCACAAAGAAATAATGGAGGAGAAGCAGATGGCAGTCTGTAGTATGCTTTGACAGTGTGCTTTGACTGCTGTTTGCTGTTGAAATCATGGCAGCTTCTCTATAAAGCAATCCAACTTCACTCACCTCTTCTAGCTCACATTCAATCTTATTGTAGTGCTTACTTCCTGAAAGACTTTTTGGGTAGTCCTGCAGCTTGAACTCAGGACCTTATGCATGTTGGGCAGGTGCTATACCACTAGAATCAAGCACACAGTCCTCTGCAAAGTTTTTCAATCACAACCCATGGCACACAGGAGTCCATGAGTGCCAACTGTGAAACTGCTCCTGATTCAGTCAGCGACTCCACTTTCATCACTTCAAGTTGGCTCTGGCAGAAGTGTTTACGCCATGGAAATTGGCACTCACTACAGTCCTGAGTGCTTACTTTCTGGTTTGCTTCATAGTCTGAGCATAAAAGACAGTTCTGAATGCATACCTGCCATATTTCTCTCCTTACTTTTCATTTAACATTGACATACAAGCTAACTGAGAACAGAGGCTTATCTGTGTGACTTCTTGTCACATAATTCAATGTCTGAAGCATAGTAAGTTTAAGCAAGTATTTCTGAAATGAAGTGGTATAAAATACTGTAGGGACCACTGACACTTCTAACAAACCCAATGGAAGCAGGAAATGGTGCCACATATTTGAAAAAGAGCTGTGGCAATGTCTCAAAAGATGAAACAAGGACTTAGCATATGAACCCTCATTCCTACTTGTAGATAGATACACAAGAAAATCAAAAGTTATATCCACACAAAAATTGCACACAAATGTTCATAGCAGCATTACTCATAATGGTCATGATTTGGAGACGAGTTAAGTGTCTGATCCCTGATGGAGGAATAAAGTATGCCCTCTATATATAATGGAATATTATTTAACCATAAAAAGGAATGAAGCCTCAACATAGTAAATCTAGAAAATATTGTGCTAAATGAAAGAAACCAAGCACAAAAGGCCACTTATTGTACAATTCCCTTTACAGTATGTGCACAGAATCAGCAAATCCATAGAAAGAGGAAACACATTGGTTTCCTAAGACCTGGGTGGGGTATGTGGGAATGGAGAATGACTTCTAAAAGGATCAAGGTTTTCCTTTCGGGTGATGAAAATATCATAAAAGTGACTTGTTAGTGATTCCACAACTTTATCAGTAGACTGTAAACCTGAATGGTGGAATTATAGAGTATATTAATTATACCTTGATAAAGCCATTTTACCCCATAAAGAAAAGAGGTGAAATCCAAAGTTTCTTTAATTGGTGTTTCTTTGCAGCCTGAGAAACTGCGCTCTGACCTCAGTTTGCTGTCAAGAAATGACCTCTGCTCTCAAAAACAATAAAACCTTGAGAAGTCTCGACCTTAGTCTTAACAACCTGAAGGATGAAGGGGTAATCCTGCTCTGTGAGGCACTGGTGCACCCTGGATGTGACCTACAGATTCTGGAGTGAGTTACCCTGCTTCTCTTCCAAGACCAGGATGGTGTATCCAAGGTTCCGCTGCAGAATACAGGAGTGCATTTGCATGTCTGGGTTGTTGCTTGCACTTGGTTGGAAGCTGGGAAGCTTAAGAGCAGCAGTTCTCATATGTGCCATAAGAAGCATTTTTCAGTTGGGATGTGATTAGAAATACAAGGTCTTGGGACCACCCTGACCTAAAAGGCAAACACTAAGGGTTGAGTCCAGTAGACTCTGCTTAACATTTGCTTTGGGAAATATCCTTCCAATTCAAAAAAAAGAGGAAGAAGAATGTATTTGGTCTTTTCTACCACTGAGCTGCACCCCCAGCCCCTCAGAGTGTGACTTTGGGCTGTGTAGCACGTGCTGAATGAGCCCACAGGTGTAATGCGGTGACTTTGTGCCATCTTCCCTAGGCTGGAAGGGTGCCTGTTCACTTCCAGTGGCTGCCAGGCACTGGCTTCCATGCTGCACAGCAACAGGAAGCTGAGATATCTGGACTTGAGCCAGAATGACATCGGAGTGGCCGGCATGCTAATCTCGGGCAGAGACTCCTCAGGCCAAAGGCAGACAGAAAAGGTCATTCTGTAAGTCTCCACAGATGTCCTGTGCACGTACATCACCCAAGAAAAGCTCCCTGTGTGGAGAGATGCCCATCTCACATGCTACAGCAGGTGTGGTTGGTGTTGGCTCATTTTCCTGGGAGTTAGAGCTATCCAAATTCAAGCTCAAGGGAAACCCACATTTCCTGTCTGATATCTTGTTTTCCTTTCTTTTCTCTTGATGTTCTTCCGTTTTCTTGTTTATGGGTTATTGGGATTTATGTTTTTAGTTTTGTTTTGAGACAGGGTCTTGCTTTGTAACCCAGGCTGGCCTGAAACTCACAATTCTCCTGCCTCAGCTTCTGAGCTCTGGGATTACAGGCATGAACCACCACACCATATCCACCTTCTTCCTTCTTTTCGTGTCTTGAAAAACTGTGTTTGCTATTGCCACTTACCAGCTCTATAGCTGTGAACAAGCTTGACTGCCTTTGTGCCTCAGTTTCCCTATCTGTGAGATGGGGAAAAGCTCTTCCTCCAGGCAATTTCAGGATTGTGGGCTAATACACTCAAGGCACTCCCCTCCCCCAGTCTCAGCCAGATTGGATTCTGGGTGAAGGCATCACCATACCTGATGATTTGTTATTTGCTGCTATGTAGTAAATCGCCTCGGTGTGAGTAACTTAATCAGCAAACACCAGATTTCTTGGTCATAACTGCATGTGCTGTTTAACTGCATGGTTCCAGCTTTGGGTCTCTCACCAAGCCTCACTTGAACTACTGCCAGGGTGTGATGGGAGCCTGGAATCGGCTGCCAAGTCACTCACAAGGCTGCTGGCAGAGGCCTGAGGTGCTCTGCCCAGGGCTGCTTGTGACAATGCAGCAAAAGTGATGAGACTCACACATACACACACACATACACACACACACACACACACACACACACAGATAGAAAAGAAAACACAAGGACACATGTACACAGAGATGCAGAAAACAAAGACAGGGAGACAGAGGGAGATAGAGACAGACACCAAAACAGAGACATGCAGAAATAGGAGACACAGAGAGAGATAAACAGAGTCAAGTGCATACAGAGACACAGAAAGACACAGAGATCATGGAGGAAATACAGACACAAAGAGACACAGACACATAGGGAGAGATACTGAGAGCAAAAAGACAGGCAAAAAAGAGGAAGAGACAGAGATAACAGAGATAGAGGGACGCTGATGGAGAGAGAAACATATAGAGACAGGAAAATGAACACAGAGACACGAAGAGGGGCAGAGAGACACACATTCACATATACAGAAGAGAGATAGAGAATAGACATGCACAGACACAGATATAGAGTAGGACAGACAGCAACACAGTGACCGATACAGAGTCAGTCACTTGACTTTGAAAACACACCCCATCAAGTCCACCATGTTCTGTTGCTCACACAGACCAGCCATGGCCCACCAGAGGAGGGGGCTATACAAGATATGAATGGCAGCAGCACGGGTCACCTGGCCAGCATGGTAGCTGCCAGCCATGGCTAGACAGTGGCTGGACCATAGTGTGAGACTCAGGCCTGATTGGTGCTGTCACTCTTGTTTAACTGAATGGGACCAGGTGGTGTCTTGTGGGGTAACTTCTTGTTCTGCACCTTCTGTATGCTTTTCTAGGATGGAAAGGAAACTCAAATATAGGAGAATAAAATATTATCCATGTCCTTTCTAGGCAGAGGAAAGCAAATGGCAAGTGGATGTGCAGACAAGACTGATGGGCCCTGCAGTAGACGAGGGCTTCCTGCGGATCTTACAGGACTGGTGTGCCTAGTGCCACAGCAGATGCACATGGACCTGGTGATCCTCTGGATGTATCTATTTCTAGTGACAAACTGAGTAACCACTGGCTGTTCTGGGAGCTTTTCTGATTTCAAAATATACTAGAAAGTAATGTGAATCAATACATGGTGGGAATAATATAAAAATAGATACAGAGAGCAAAGGAGGTGAATAAGAAGCCCAGAAATAAATCTGTGCATTTAGTCTGTTGATACTCAATGCAGGTGTCAACAACAGCCACCGAGGAGAGGATGTTCTGGTCAGGTGTTATACGACTGTTATTCACATGCACAAGAATGAAATGACACCCAACTTCACACGATACACAAAAATAAACTCAAACTTGGTAAAAAAGTTAAATATGCCAGTTTTTGAACTGCCATTTTGAGCCCTTCTAATTTGTTTTTTTAATTAGTCCCTTTGATATTCTAATCCTCATGTATTTCCATGTGTATTTTAGAATCCATTTCTCTTTGCAGTTTCATGAGGAATTCAGGTGGGATTCTCATGTAGTTTATCTTGAACCTGGACATCAAATTGGGAAGTATTGCAATCTGAACAATATTCCATCTTCCATCCAGGAACTTACAATGGTCCCATTTACTTAGAAATTTAATTTCTCCTAACACTTTTTAAACCTTTATAAAACAAAATTTCTACTTCTCTGATTAAATCTATCACTGCATTTCATTTTTATTCCATTGTAAATAAAACATTAATATGTGTAATGTCCTACGATCACACACCCATTACCTTCTTTTTCCCCATGCTTATTCTTTCCAGTCTCCTCCCTCCTCCCATACAGTCCCTTCCCTCTTCCATTTGTTAGAGAAAACATGTGGTATTTATCTTTCTTTTTAAAAGTAGCTTCCATTTGTTAGAGAAAACATGTGGTATTTATCTTTCTGAGTCTGGCTTATTTCACTTAATATTATGTCATCCAGTTCCATTCATTTTTCTACAAATGACATAATTTTGTTCATTCCAAATGAAAAAGTGGTCCTTTGTGTGCATATGTATGTCTGTGTTTTTGTGTGCATATAGATATTATATAATAATCATATATATATGATTATATAACTGGGCTATTGTATATATGACTGAGATAAACATCTGTGTGCAGGTATCTCTACTGTATGCTGACTTTGATTCCTTCTGCTACTCACTGGGAAGTAGTATCCTTGATCATATGGCAGATTTATTTCTAGTTTTTTGAGGAACCTTCATGATGGTTTCCACAGTGGCTGGAGTAATTTACATTCTCTCCAATAGTGGTATAAGTGTAACTCTTTCCACACATCCTCAGCAACATTTGTTGTTTGTTTCTTGATGATTCACCCCATGTCTGGGATGAATGCCATCTCAGTGTAGTTTTGGGTTTTCTCTCATTCTGTAGGCTGTCTCTTTAGTAAGGAAACTGTTTCTTTGTTGTGTACAAGTTTTTTAATTTGATGAAATCCTGTTTATCAACACTCACTCTTACTTGCTGAGGTACTAGATTCCTACTCAGAAGGGTGTCCCCTTCTCATATAGTCAAGTGATTTCCCTGGATTTTCCACTGTAGTTTCAAAGCTTTAGGGCTTAGTTAAGGTTTTAGTTATTATTTTGTATTGATTATTGAGCATAGTGAGAGATAGTGATCTGATTTTACTCTTCTCCATGACGAAATCCAGTTTTCTCTTCACCATTTGTTATTGTATTTTTGTCCAAATTGTCAATAATCACATGCCTATAACGGCATGTGTCTTTTCCTTGCCCCTGTGTTCTACTCCCTTAGACTATGTGTCTGTTTTTGTGCCAGTACCATGCTGGGTTTTGTTGTTACTCTGCCCTATAGAAGAATTTGAAATGAAGTATTGTGATACCTCCAGCATTGCTTTTTGCTCAGGATCGCTTTGGATACCAGGGTTGTTTGTGTTGATTTATTTAAATATTTCTGTGAATAATCTGTAGATCAGTTTTGGTAATAAAGCCATTTTCCTATATTAATTCTGTCAATCCAGGAACATTGAAGTCTTCTCATCTTCTACAATTTCTTTCTTCAGTGCATTATAGTTTTTATTACAGAGCAATTTTACCTCCTTGGTTAGCTATTCCAAGGAAATTTTTCTTAGAGAATGGAACTGGAGTTTGAACTCAGGGCTTCCTCCAAGCAAAGCACTATGGAATTTGTTTGAAGCTCTTGTGAATGGGATTGTTTTCCTCATTTTATTGTCCACATTTATTACTGCCGTATAGAAAAGCCATACATTTTTGTATTTTGATTTGTATCCTGTGACTATGCCACAAGTGTACGTCATATATAAGTTTTCTGGTGGAGACTTCAGTGTCTTTTAAATATAGGATGTATCATGTGCAAACAGGGATAAGTTGACTTCTTCCTTTCCTGTTTGTATCCCTTTCATTTCTTTGTCACACTTTACTGCTCTGGTTAAGAATTCCAGCACCACACTGACTAAGACAGTGGACACCCTGTCTCATTCCTCACTTTAGAGAAAATGCTTTCAGTTTGTCCACAGTTAGCATAATGCTGACTTTAGTCTTGTGGCATATAGCCTTCATAATGTTGAGTTAAGGAACCTTTTTCTTAGTTTTGTCAGGGCTTTTATTATGAAGGGATGTTGCATTTTATCAAAAGCTTTCTCTGCAGCTATTGAGATGATCATGTGATTTTTTTTGTCCTTGATTCTATACCTGTGCAGTATGACATTTATTGGTTTGTGTATGATCATGCTTGCATATCTTGATTTAAGCCAACTTGTTTATGGTGTATCATATTCTTTTCTTTTACTATTTCATTTAATTAAGCTCTTATAATGAACTATTTCTACTTTGTTAAGTTTTATTTTTGGTTAGCATACATGACTAATTGTGCTCATTCTATACATGCATATGGTGCACTTTGAGCAAGTTCACCTGCTCCATTATATCTCTACCTCTCTCTTTCCCTATTTTTCAAGCAGTGTTTGGTGGGTTTCATTATGTCTTTGTATATTTATATGTAGTGTATGTCAATTCTCTTCACTCCTCCATATCCTTTCCTTTTACCCACCCTCTCCTGCAGTCAGCCCCTCACTTACATTATGTCAGGGATATCCTTTTCTTTATCCATTCATCAATTGTACAGCTCTTTGGCTGTTCCCACAGTTTAGCTGTTATGAAGAGGGCTGCAATAAATATTGTCCTGCAGGTGTCTCTCTTGTATATTGATCCAACCTTCTTGCATATGTGCCCAGGACTGGAATGGTGGAGTCTTAAGGTAAGTCTATTTTTAGTATTTTGAGGAACCATCATACTAATTTCTACAGTGGTTGTACTAATTTATGTTTGGTGTATTAGTGTATATTTTATAATCTTTTTTAATGGATCATTAAATTAAGTTTCCAAGTATTTTATTGAGGCTATTTGCATCTGTAGGCATCAAACAAATTGCCTATTGTCCTTTTTTGTGTTGTCATTATCCAGTTTTCATATAAGGATAATCCTGGCTTCATATAATTAGCTTGGCAGCATTCCTCCCTTTTCTCTTTTATGGAATAGTTTAGGGAGCATTGTTGTTCTTTAATAGCCTGGTAGAAATCAGGAGGGACTCCATCCAGTCTTTGGCTCTTGTTTGTGGAGAGAGTATTATTGCCTCATCTCATTAGTAATCATGGACCTGTTTAAGTCTTCTATATCACTTTTATTCAATTCTGGCTGTTAATGTGTCTAGAAATCTATTCATTTGCTTTCTTGATTCTCCCATTTATTGGAATATGTTTTCAAAATATCCTTGATGATTCTCTGGATTTTCTTGGAACCTGCTATAATATCCCCTTTTCATACAAATTTTATTAATTTTGGTCTCCTCTTTTCTGGGGGAATGTTACTTTGGCTGAGGCATTTCCATCTTGTTTTATCTTTCTAAACAATTAACTCTTTGTTGTTCCTTTTTATGGTTCTTGTAGACTCACTTTCTTTAGTTTCTGTCCTGATCTTTATTATTTCTTTCCATCTAGTTATTTGGCATTTCTTTTATTCTTGTTTTTCAAAGACCTTGAGCTGCAACATTAGGCTATTTGAGACCTCTCTGAATTTTTAATGTTGGGACTAATGGCTTTAAATTTCCCTTTTAGAACTGTTTGCTATTTTCTAAAGGTACTGTATGCTATACTTTCATTTCATTTGATTTTGGCAATTTTTATTGTCCCTGGAGTTGTCAGTTATGCACTGATCTTTCAAATGAATATGGTTCAATCTAAGTTTATATATGTTCCCTTGCTATTGGTTTTTAATTTCATCCATTATAATCTGGTAAGAATTAAGAATATATTCAATATTTTATTAAATCTTGCTTTATGGTCCAAAATGTGTCTGTTTTAGAGGAGTCTGCTGGGAAGAATGGATAATCTGCTGCTGTCAAGTGGAGTATATTGTAGGCTTCTGTTAAGTCCTTTGATTTATGGAGCAGTCTAAATCTGAAGGTTTAGAAACTACTATTGTATCATGCCCACTGAGGCACATATGGTTGAGTGTGCCAAAAACCTATCCATCACCTCATATACATACAGCTTAATTCTATATAATGTGACCCACCACAGTTTAAAGAATGATCAAGATTAAAGCTGGATGCAAAAAATGCCTTTATTACTGCACAATCCTGAGCAATGTGAAGCGGTTCAGACTTGTGGATCCCTAAGACTCCCTAATATGGACATCTGAAAAAGACCACATTTTCTTAAGGTCCAGAGCTATTCCCAAGCAAGGATTTTCTCCTGCTGAATAAACTTGAACCTTGGGCTGAAAGTTTCTCTTATTTGCTACCATTATTGGGTCTGTGTGTGGTGTGGAACTTTTAGTGATGGAGATACATGTTGTGTAAATTATTTCCCACAGTTGCTGCATTCATAAGAACATTCTCATGTGTGAACACTTTTCATGTGTGCAAAGGAGAGTTCTTTGGCTAAATCATTTGTCACATCAATCAGAATCATGGGCGTTTCCTCAAAGTGA